ATTTCCCCAAACATTTACTTACTGTTCATTGTAATGCACTGTACCAACCTATCCAGCTGTAAAAGGACAAAACAAAACTGCTTGATTTGAGTAATTTAATAGGGCGAAAAAAGATTTACAAACATTTAATAAATAAATCACTATTGAATAATTGGTATGTTATCCATTTAGTCAATGTAACCTAGAGGGGATTGGCATGTTGCTTCGCCTTGAACATTTTACGTAGAATGCAGATGTGTATTTATAATTCAACTTTCTTATACATTTACATGTGGTTAATCATAGCCCGTATATTATCATAACATTTATATAACCTAGAATTTAAAGAAATATTCAAAATTATGTTTTGTTTTTCGGTTTTGCTTTATTTGTAAGAAATTAATCAGCTTGGTACACATTTTACCTGTCCCATACAATACCCCGGTATTCCAATATGATCCTGGCTTTATTGCGGAATTCATACTTTGCATGTCAGTTAATGAAATCTCATAGCTACAATCAATTTTTTCTCGACTGTTGTTGTACACAACTAAATTTCCTGTGAAGTATGTGTTAGGAAAAATTATACTTGATAATATGTCAGATAAATAACCTAATTACGTGCATGTTTACGGTGATTCCTATATTCATTATTGCAAGATATTACTGTATACCAAGAGACTACTGTGTACATCATCTATTTTAACCCGTTTTGCTTTCTTTCTTAGTTGATTTTCACATTTTACATGAACATGTTTGTTTTTGCAAATTATGATACACTGTATAATAAAATTATAGAATTAAGAAAAAGGTGTACCTGCTTTATTTATACAAAAATAATTTCTATTTGCTTCACAGTCTCCATAAAACGTTTCATTGTTTTCATATAAGGTGCTGTTGAGATAGTTAAATCCACAATATTTGGCTAAATCATGTGAATAATAATCTGAAAGAGTAAATGATACTCTTAGCAAGGACCAATGCCGTTTAATATTACCTTTTATAAACTCTAAAGAGCTAGAAAAGATTCATAACGAAAATATGCACAAAATATGAGCAAACTTAATAAAAAACGCGACTTTATGTTTATACTGATAAACTAACAGTGCATGCAAAAATCCTGGTTAAGGATAATACGATAAAGTCACCATGCTTCAGAAAAATACAACGATATCATACAGTTATTTTACATTGTTGAGAACCATACTGATCTCTTTTTGACAAAAACCCATTTGTGAAACATATATACGTTTTGCAGTTGTGTACGAATATGAACTCTTCATTTTACGACACACATTTTTAAAGAGGAAGGACACAATAAAAAACAATGGTGTTTAATATAATGTATAATTATATTAAATACAACGCTATAGAATAACAGTTGGATTTCATTTGGCTTTGTTGGACTCGGAAAATGAAAATGAGGTTAGATGAAGTACACTATCAATTTGATATGGATTTTTGGACTTGTGAAATTAAACGAGGCTAAACTGATAAGATTGAATCCACTATGATATAAACTAGAACATGACCTTAGAATATAGTAGAAGTTTTCAGATTTCGGTAGATAACCAAGTCTAGTTTTGAAGAAGCTAATTGCCGATTATATGTTATTTGTTAACTAGTATGCATGAGCAATAAACTAAAAAAAAAGTTTATTGTTATTTCAAAACAATTAAAACTTATACAAAATATATTTTCTGAAACAGTTGATAAATTATCAATTTTAAGTAAATAAGACGTAAGTACGAGTAAAAGTCAATTTCAAAAGTAATGACTAAAAGGTGTAACAAAGTAAACAAAAATGATTAGAACAAAATAAATGCAAGCCTTTATTTATGAATAGAAAACAACAATGAAGGAATAGCAGACCAGAAAGGATAAAATATTTTCTTTATATATTTATTTTTTGTACTGTTATATTTTATGTATTAATGACACTATCGAAAATAAAGTGTTTTGACAACATAGATACAGTTACAAAAACAATTACTTACCAGATATTATTAAATAATCAGCTGTCCATACATCTATTTCATGTTTTAAATGGAGTTGGTCTAAACCAGTCGCAAACGGAAACATTTTACCACCTCTGTTACTACATTTTTTCGCTGATTCTTGCCAAGTTGAAAGTTCCATGTTACAAGAAACACTCGGTGGAAAATCTTTTTGATATTAAGAAAAATGAACAAGATAAATTAATAATCAAATAAATGTTTAAGATCATTCTACATAAAACATTGTTATTTCACTTTCAAGAATAGGAAACTGGGATTTTCAGAATGAAAAAATAAAATAAATAAATGAATAAAAACAATGTATAAATTATTTCTTATTAGAGTATAAAAAACCTTGTAAAAAGATTTTACTATGAAGTTGATCGCGATGATACAAAATATAATTTTAAAGTTCACAAAAGAAATAAATCTTCGACGCAAACAAAAGACGTTGTTTTATCGGCCATATCTTACAAACGTGAAATATTAGCCATAAAGAGCAGGCAGTATCAATATTCATATATTATTAAAAAAATACTTAATAGGATTGAAGATGCATGTTACGTTACAAGTATAAAATAAATTCCAAGTACCTTTTGTTGAAGAAACCAAGGCTTTTATCAACACGATAAATACCAAAAAAGCATAATCCTTCATTATTGTCCAATATTAAACTCGTAAAATAAAACATAAGACACCCTGTCAATGGAGGAAGTTAAAACACTTTAAAAGATAGCAGTTATCTCAAATGTGCATTTCATAACATGCTATCTGCAGTTTTTTTTAATTATAGTTGACAAATATTTTCGCTGTTTGATTTGAACAGGAACTTGTGTTAAATATTTACCCTAATTTTTATGTGCTTATATTATATACCAGAGTAGAACGTGCTCAATGAAATGATTTAATCAATTTTATTAGAACATGTTTGTCAGGCAAAGAACTATATGTAATGTACTTGATAAAAAAAGTATTTTCCAGATATTTACCTTTTATTGATAACGCAATATATTATTAAATTGCTTGAACGTTGTGAAGTTGTTGTTGTTGTGGTTTGTTTGTTATTTTACTTTATTTTATTCATTTTTTTATTTAGTTCATGTGCTAATATTTGACTAGTGATGAAATATTTTAACTTTTTCTAATTTACACACTATAAAAACGTAACACGCTTAAGGTAAAGCATAACAACACTGAAGTGAAGTTGGATTCTGAGCAAAGCAAAAACAAAAATGTGAAATAAGTCTTAAATACTATATGCTACGAAGAATCGTTCATTTCAAATGATGTTAGAGCATAAAAACGAACCAATGAGAGACTTGGTTTTATCATTGAAAAAAGTCACGTATCTCCTTTTTTACACACGTTTTGATACAACTAGAAAAACTATTGTTTTAAGTTAAAACGCAAATGATAAAATAAGTTCTTTTTGTGAATATGAAATAAATCTGTAATAAGAAGTGAGGAAAAGGTGTGTACCCTTTTCTGGCTCTTTGCGATGGAAATAATGATTTGCAGTTTTCTAACTTGTCAGTAAGAAAGATAAACATCATGTTATCTCAAAACAAATATTCTCTATATATGAGATTTATTGTACTTATTTTTAAGCACTTGTGAAATCAACATTCCACTTTACGTGATAAGTAACCTTGGACACTATCAATTAAATGCATCTTTTATTTAAACATCTCTATTTACAACGATTATGTTTTACCAAGAAGGAAGTACTTACAGACGGGAAAGATAAAACATCAGCGGCATAAATAAAATTCTAACACACAATTGATGAATCTTTATAGACAAAAATACTTTTATTTCTGTTAAGATTACTTTTTTTATAACAAACTGTGCATGATCTTTTCAGATCTGATATATTTACCAAGGATGCAAATTTTTAGTGAAAAAAATATTGTTGATAAATATCGCCCACGATTTAACATTTAACTCAAGCTGTATATTATTCAGATTAGTATTATCGTTTTCAAAATGTTTTGTTTGTTTTTATTTGCTTTACAACTGCCATGACAAATAAAGAAATACATTAAAAGGGCACAACGGGTGCTAATTAAAAAAATGACATCAAAACATAAATCGTACTCTCTTTTTGTTTTTCCATAGGCATTTCTAATGCTATTTTCAAGTGTACCACTATAAAGTATTTTAAGTCAGTGGTACGAACCATTACCTTATTTTCTTTTGTTTTATATTTAACGATAATTATCTTATATGCTTGTTCAAAACCTAGCTCGTTTTTTTGTTTTATGCGGGTATGTTTCTGTAAAATTGTAAATTATGCAAAACTCTGTCAAGTCATTTTGAAATATTGTATTGATAAGAATTACAAGCACGTTAATATGTTATGTTTTTGGAAAATAAAGTTCTTAGCTTTTAACACTATTCCTGTGGAAAAAAACCACTAGTTTGTGATGATTATTCAATAAATTTCATATTTATTAAGTTAAACCGTAATAATATTACTATGGAAAACTTAAAATGCATGGTGTCATATTTACATCGATTTATCCTCCCTATAATCAACATGACTGACATATGTATGTATTCATTACAACATGATTGGACCTGTGTCGCCTAATTATCACACATGTGATTATTACGCGCGACGTAATACTAGTTATCACAAGGTTGGTAGGAATGCCCTGGAAAAAAAACACGAACGGTCTTAATTACATTCCAAATAATTTGAATTATACACTATTTAAATATGAAACCGGTTAAGAAGAGCCATACTGGTTCCCGTCGCTTTGTTGATGCTCCGGTGATTTATAATCACTTTATACAGAAACTGTGGTCAAAATGGAAATATATCTGTGTTGGTCAATTCTTTCTCTTTCTGGTAATAATCTTTTATCTAAATCTATATGCACTTATTATACATCATTTTAATGTCTTAGATTTAAATGCTAATTCACCTTGTTTGAATGTATAACTCATGCAAATATTAGTCACAGTACGCTTGAAGGATTTGCGTAAGTAGTTAAAGATAAATTCTTTCACAAATCATGATATATGCACATCTTAAATTGTTTTCATTTGTGTTCTCTTTGGTAAATCCAACTTCAATGTTCAGAGCAGTTTACGAAGTGAGTCATTGGAAAAAGCAGACATAATGGTAGATTTTCCAATTGTCACGAAACATGAAACAACAACGAAAAACAACAAAAAGAAAACGTTTGACAAGGGCAATGTTTTATTGTTTTATTTTCCTGTTATCAATCAAAAACATCTACAATCGGTTTGGAAAGTGACAGATAGCTATCGACCAAATGTGTGGCACAAAGCTCATTGCAACTTGATTGGTGAACAATATCGTTTGATGTAAAGTATCATATATTATTAAGGGTAACTTCACTTGACGTAAACTACAAACATAAATCAGATAGAGACAATTTTGAACAGATTTAATAAAGTTAAATGACATTGAAAGAATTATGGTCTTAATCATTATTTCGTTTACAAAACTGCAATTTTTTAACCATTGACACATTCTGTAACTCATCAAGTCATTTAATTTTTATTCATCTGGATGAGCAGTGGTATTGTTTTTTTCTGTCTGATTAAGGATTACCATGTGACATCAAAACATTCAATCTGAGAAGGGTATTTTGTAGTCGGCGTGGTACAATGTATAACATGATATTGTATAATACGGCAATATATTTGGACGAGCACAAAAACTAAAGAAAGCAATATGATTTCTCACTGTGTACATGTCCAAATTAATTGAAATAATTACAAAGAAATAATGAACAACTACTAATATCATAAAAAATATGAAGGTAGATAATAATTTAGAATTAAAAATATCTCATTCTCCCAAAAGTGGAAGACCAAATTTTAAAAGGCTAAAGGTGAAGTTATATCAAATTTAAAGAGTGATATTCATTGGTATTATTAATCAAAATAGCATACACTAATAAGTAGATGTCTACAAAATCAACATGGTACGAAATATTTCATAATTTTATTACATCATAAGAAGTGTCCATATATAATATCCGAGATATCAAACATAATTGGTCCAAACTGTTTGTTCGGTATGTATTTGGTCCGACGGGTTCATAATCCGTAGTGTATATAGACATCATGTGTTAAACCTGATATGTAAAAACACTGGGACAAAGCACCAGAGCGGCAACATGAACTATACGAGTATGTAAATCATAAAAAAAAACTAGTATTTGACAGGCAATGGTAATGGGCAATAAATTTCTGTAACATGTCCTTTTATTTTTTTTAGTATTTGACCAAGAATTATAGTAGTTGTCATCTTAAGATAAATGATTGTAAACGTCATCAGGCAATGCTCTGTTATTCACCTCTGTTGTGAAGTCATATGTAGATTCAACGGGATTGCGATCTTCTGTTGTGTTGTACAAATTGTTACACCCTTCTTCTTCCCTTACGAAAGGTGTCGAATTGTACTCGTCTGCGCTTTCAGAATGGTTATATAGATTGTCCGACTGATTACATCTACTATTTTGAAATGTACCTGCAACATCATATTCATCATTCGTTGCATTTTGATACGATTTATTTGAGTAATTATCATTTCTGGATTTTGTGTCGTCCTTTTTAGGTTTTGTGACAATAGCATATTGTGCACTATCATCTGTGAAATTATTTTCATTTGTTCGGTAGTCAGATGATGATGTTTGTTGAATACTTTCAGAGTAAACGTTGAGCTGACCGTGAGTTGGTGAAGTTCCTTGAATGTGAAACTGATTCATACGTTCATTTTCATGTTTTGAATTGCTAGACTGCCAACATTTAACCCTTGAAAGAAATTTGAATTGATAAGTAATATTCTGAAAAGCGCAATGATAATTATCTATAACTTATTCAATTCTTGCTTTTTTGTTAAAATGTTGAATACTTTTATACTAAAGTATTATCTTTATCTTTCCTGTTGATAACATAAGCTATTTTAACTACTGATACACGATGCTATCTTAATATGAAATTTAGTTTTTTGAAGTTACCATTACGTTTATGGATTTTTATTTTTTACCTTCTTCTGTTAATATAAAGAATAATCAAAACCCCACACATCAGAAGCAACACTATTCCTATTGGTATACCGATTGTGACACCGATGTCTGAAAAATTTCATTGTTGCATTACAGCTAGGTGCATGTGATTTAAATAAAAAGCATAACATTGATTTCTTATATCAGAGGTGATTTTATAACTGATATAAGGTAAGAAAAAAATCATGCTATTTATATATGAATAGAAACAAAACCAAAAAAATCAAGATTTTCAGCGTTTGTCGCACAAAACTAAGACTTAAGATGAGAAACTTGGAAAATAAGCAACGAAAAACAACCTGAAGTTTCTTCTTTTTCTTCGCCTCCCTGGATCGACATCTTATCTATTTCACTTTCGGTTGCAGACGATGTCGTAATATGTGCTTTCCATGACGAACTTGCAAACATGTTTGAATCACTTGTTACCGGCTTCTTGTTACTGACAAATGCAACTTTACTTTCAAATGTAGGCTGTTTTGCATTTGGAGTTGATTGTTCTTTGAAAACTGTATAGAAATGAAAAATAATCTATCTCTTTATTTTTCATTTAAAATAAATAAGTCTTAAGACAACCACTATAAGGATTTGATGTGTTTTGTCATCTTGAAGAACAACAATCAATATTGAGTTTGAATTACAAAACGACTTCAATTTTTAGTTTAAAAGTAATAAAAGCCTTTATATATAGCTAATTTGGAAACCATTTTTTTAACTAACACTTTTGACCCAAAAATGACCATTACGTGAAATTGTGTAACATGGAGAAATATGCTTTTGATCAAAGAATGCGTGAATATAAGATGTATTAGTTGAAAGTCAAAACTTAGTCATCACAAAGTCATAAATTTAGTCAGTTAACTTACCATCGAAACATTGAGTATTGATTTTCCCTATCCATGAAGAAGTGCTTGGCTCTACAGAATATTTGGAATTAAGTGCATAAATTGATTTATGTCATCACTTTATTTATCAAAACAGTTAAAATCTTCTTTGAAAGGACATTATTGAAAATGAGTAAAATGTCCTTTGAGGAAAATTAGAAATCAAAGTACATACATACAAATGGACTTACTATCTGTAATTACCAAATTTTGTAATGTTAGTATGCCATTTTGTTAACAGTGCTATCATTCTGAATAGTTAATAAGTCTATACTGCTTTAAGGGAAACGAAGGAGGGTTTGTGGAAACTATTTAGAGCTTGGTATAATTATATAAAGTAGCACGCCTTCAGATGGTAAAATGAAAAAAGAATATTGGTATATTTGTTTAAATGAAACTTTTCTATCATACTATCCTCTTGTTTTATGAAAGTGGTTGACAAAATTGTAAAGATATTTTATCATATAACATAGTCACGTCACATAACAGTTTTTGGAAGTCAGGAATCTTTCAACCACCAATAAATGATCCTAGAAATAACCGAGATAAAAGTCTATTTAAAAAAGAAGGTATATATTCTGATAGCAAAAATCAGACTGATTTCTAAATAAACAAGTTACAATATGCACGTTTTACATAATTATTTGCGCTACCGGGTAAATGTTCAAACACTACATTTTATAAAAATTGGTTGAATTTGCGTTCACCTTGTTATGATATACGAGTATAATCAGCAAAGTAATATAAAATGTAGTATTAAAAATATCTCATATTTTTATTTTTGTACATACCGAAATTGCCACATAGAGATAATCGTTTTCCTGAACATTTAGCAAAATATTTGCCGGTAGCACTTTTGTAAGCTCCACAATAGTGCTCGTTTGTATTGCTTATTTGCACTGTTCCTTCCTCTGAAAAAAACACTACATATTTTGCTAATACCAACCACATTTAAGTTAGCAAGGACTTAACAAATACGAAAACGAAATTCACGAATATTTTCCAGCTTTTTCTGTAAATACATTTTTGATTATTATGCGTTTCACACACAAATGCCACATTGCATTTCTAAATTGTTAAAACTTTGCATCATTGGTTATCTAAATTAATGTTTATTTATAAATTCCACCGTCAGTTGTTTTTAAATGACATGATCTTAATTGATCTTAATTGATTCATACATGTAATTTTAACGGAAGCATAAGTATGACTACAGTAAACAAGCAATTATCATAGTATTGCAAGCAATCCATAAGTCCCTTACCGGTTAAAACCCCAGTACATTCTGAAGGGCCATTCACTTATGTTTCTAATATGTTGAAAAAGTCCTTTAAAAATGATCACAAGAAACGGACTGAAGGACACTCTAAAGTTATTTCTTTAAACATCCCTGATATCAAAATATAACATTTTTAAAAGCAAAATTCTTAAAGAGGAGATAACTCTTGAAATAAAGATGCAAGACGTCATACATGATGTGAGTGTAACAAAGAACAATTAGTAATGAAGGTGTTGATAATGAATGATTTTTTTTAATTTGAAGTAAAAGAAAGTGAAAAGAATGAATGAGAAAAATTCAAAGTTTAAGGAGGAGATAATTCTGGAAATATGGATCCTAGATTTATAAACCTTGTCATATTATTATGATGTGGGAGTTTGAAGAAAATCCTATAATGACTGAAAAAGTTGGAGTAAAAATTACCAATTTCTCTAAAAAAAAGTCTAAGTTCAAAAGGGGCATAATTCTGGAAATATTCTTGCTAGAGTATTGAACTTTTTCACAAATGTTGAATGATAATAAGAAACATAGATATGAAGTTTGAAGTAGATACATTCACAAAAAAGGAAGTTATTAAAAAAACAATATTTTTTTCATGTAAATTCTAAGTTCAAGGGAGGAAATTCTGATAAATTTTATGCTAGAATTGAAAACCTTGTCACATTTGATGTGGTTGATGACTAGAAACTTATATTTAAAGTTTGAAAAAAATACCTTAAGAAATAAAGAACTCATAGTGAAAAAACGTTAAAACTTGAATCAGAAATCTTGAATTTCAGTCTATTTGTTACCATAGCAACCAGAATTTTCAGCATTGGAAGAAACGAAAAGAATATGCATACTCTCCATACTGCCATCTATCCATATATCAAGTTTCATAAAAATATTTTCAGTACTTTTTGTGTTATCACTGGATCCAGGTTATGTGTAAAATTTGCCATATTTTCAGACTATTTGTTGCCATAGCAACCAGAATTTTCAACATAGGAATAAAAGAATAAGACGTGCATAATCTCCATACTGCCATCTATCCATATATCAAGTTTCATAAAAATATTTTTTGTACTTTTTGCGTTATCACGGGATCTAGTTTTGTGGACGGACGGACTGACGGACGGACGGACTGACGGAAGGACAGACGGACGGAGGGTAAACCTAAAGTCCTCTCCGGTAAACCGGTAGGGGACTTATAAACATATTTTTTTTTATATTTTCCTCTTTAGAATATACTTGTACAGTTTATAACTTTTAAGATATGTTTAATTTGATACTCTCGACTGCCTTAATCGTCCGTGTAGACCAGTAGAATCCTGGTTTTATCTGAAAGCTATTCATAAACAGATCGTTCGGCGAGACAGTCTTGTTGCAGCTGACATTTGCTCGTGTACTGTTATATACCGCAAGCGTATGTCCTGTTGCTATAGAATAAAATATGACATTTCAAAATGTTTAAAAATATCTATTTATTTACGTCGATGCCGTTAAGTCAAAGAATTTAAAAGAAATGAATTATAGCTTGTTTTTATTGATTTGAAATAATCTAAAATTCCATACGAAAAAGTATACCATTTTAATACGATACAAGTGAGAGATTTTTGTATCCGAGGAAGCATTTTAACTATAGCACTTTTGGCAAAATATCTTTTTGATTAACATTAAACAAAAAGAGATATCGTTTACGCATGGTAGTTTTTATGACACATTCTTTAACTTTAACTTTGCCACAAAGCTTAAAGTTAGATAATGATTTTGATAAATTTTACAAAGTTGTGTCACATCGTTATGTCCTTTTTGGTTGAAAATATAATAAATGAAAGTATGAGCCGCATTGATAACCTTAGTTTGTTTATGTTTCTGTTATCTACGAACATCGCGAAAAGGTGACAAAGTTTAACTCATTCCTATATTAAACATTCAGTCCAGAGTATCGAATAAAAAAAATCAATGGTTCAACATTGACTGTTTAAAAAATTATGCTTCGGAAATCAATGTTTTTACCTTCTTTAGATAGAACTAATATAAGTTTATAGCAATTAGATAATAATTTTAAAGCATTTAAGGTGCTCATCACCTGAAGAAAGTAGCGCGTAATTTGAAATAATTTGTAATAAAAGTAGCAATATGTAAACACAGTAGTATTTTGACTTCCAAACAATACTCAATCACTTTAAATGCACTAATTGCCTGATAGGCAGTAGAAGCAAACGATAGCAAAAGGTAATTGGAAAATGAGTAACCATTTTGGAATATATAAGTGGCCATTAAAAAAGCTTTCGAGAAATACAAATAAAAACATTTCTGAGGCATAATGGGCATTTAATATCGTTAACCCTATTCTCAAGGAATCTGATGTAGCCCAGTCATACTACATTCATATTCTTAAACTTAGATTATTCAGTAGTATTCTACCTCTTGTTTAGCGGGACTTTAGCCTACATACAAATTGAGAAATGTGTTTTGATAAAACATGGGAATAACAATGTCCTGCACTCAGTCGGCTCCGCTGTTGATAGACCGATGTTACAACATTCATGTAACAGGTCGTAAGACAGAACTGGACAAATGTACGGAATGTATTTTACGTCTCGAATGCAACAGGTTTATATAACCATATACTAACTTAACCTTTTACCTCATATATACGCGAAACAACGCACTTTCGACCCCTCCCTTTTTTTAGGCCTGAAATAGTGAAAAAATGTCTTATTTGGGCTCCAAACACATGTTTTCGTTTGAGAAATGTTGCTAAAAAAGTGACCACTTTTTCGGCGCCGTCCCCCATCCAAATATTACATCAGGGGGTTGCCAGAAGGGGGATGTGCTTCCTTCTGTTTAGAGGGTTTGAAGGGGGCGGAGTCCCCCTCATCGCCAAGAAAATTTTGGGCTTGTGAGAGGCTTAAAATGACCCCAGGTCGATCATAAGGTAACGTGTAACAAACGCTCAAATTCCTTTGACTCTAGCTCAATCCCTTGAGAAGTTGCAGCACTTTGAAATAAATTTTGATGGAAAAAATCGAGTCAAAATAGTGATTTTTGGCAATTTTGAGATGTCCCTCCGTTGCCATGGTAACAGGAAATTTAAGACTGAGCATGTCGTTACAAAGGCAATGGTCGAGTCAACATTTGCGCCAAGTTTGATTAGTATTGAAGCATTTTTCATAGTTTCATTGCAGTTTGAACTTGTAAGAGGAGGCTTTTCAGTGAAAATGGCCATTTTTCACAATATGCTCATGGTGGAAAGGGTTAACAAATAATAATTATAAAATCATTATTAGGAAAGATAATTTTGTTACGTCTTTTGTTTTATATAGGATGAATATCGTACAAAGGCTGGTTTGAACTATCCTGTTAATTAAAATGCTTTAGAACGGTGCTAGAGAATATGCAACTCTCTGATAATTTTGCATGTTTACTACACATGATAATTTCAAATATGGATGAAATCCTTACCTGTTTTAGTTTTGCAAAAATAGTTTCTGTTTGTGTCACAATATCCATAAAACACTTCTGCGCTATAAGAGTAGGATCTGTTCAGGTAGTTAAATCCACAAAAGTCTCTCCCTGTAGATGACAATTAAAATATGATAAACTAAGCTTGTTTTAATATGTAGAAAATCAAACTATCAAAGAATGCATGTTTGTTTTTTAAAAAACGTGTATACAAACACACAAACAAACAAACACAAAGGAAGAAATGGATATACTTGGTGAACTATCCATAGTTTATACGCTTACTGCCTCGCAAAACGGACGAACTATCATAAGATGTGAAAATAGGGCATCAGTATCTGTTAAGCCGCTGTGATTAAAGGCATCAGATGATGTACATGAATATTGCATAACAATTGGCTGGTATCGATCAGGAGGTAATAAATATTTTTGAAAATCAAACAAAACTAAAAAAAAAATAGAAAACTTGAACAATAACTGACCTTCATTTGATTTCTGTAGATAATTGGCAATCCAAACATCCGTGTCACTTTTAAGATTTAGTTTATCCAAGTCACTACCTAACCCCGTCTCAAAGGAAACTAGTTTTCCACCAGCATTTATACAATTATTAACTGCCTCTTGCCATGATAAAGGTTTCATTATACAGGAAATGCCAAAGGAAAAATCTGTTAATTGAATTGGAAAGAAAAAATCATGATATTTTTAAAACTAAAAGAAATTATTAATCGTTAATTGTACAAAAAGAAACATTTCACTTAATATATAACATCTTTATGTGTCACGACATATAACATGTATAAAAAACAAACATGCACAACGTAGTGTTTAAAGTAATTTGAATGATAAAATTAAGACTTTTTTGTTAACATATTTTCTTCAATACTTTAATTTAGATATAGCCTGTGCAACATTGGCTGTATAGTTTATTAAACTAAATTCATACATCATATTTCTTAAAAAAATAAATTGACTACAAATACCTTGCACGGCTATAACAAAACCTTTTACCAAAGCGATAAATACCACAATAGAAAAGTCCTTCATTTTTTTCAATATCTGAATCGTAATTAAACATAAGAAAAGATATCAAAAGAGGAAGTTAAAACGATAACATTCATCTTAATTGTGAATTTTTAAACTTCCTATCTGCAGTATGAACTGTACTTGAGAAATATTTTCACCGTTCAATTCTTCAGTAATGATAACAGAATATAATCAATGTTATGTGATTAATGTGTCAGGCGAATGAATAACTATATGCTTTTTAAGTGTCACAAGTATTTTCATTTCAAAGATAACGCAATATTGTCAACAAAAAAATCATCACTGTTCTGTTTTTTTGTTGTTTTTGTCTGTTGTTGTTGTTGTTGTTGTTGTTATTGTTGCTGCTGCTGCTGCTGCTGTTGTTGTTGTTGATGTTGTTGTTGTTGTGCGTGTGCGATGTCTTTTTATTTGTTTTGTTGTGTTCTGTGTGTGTTTTCTTTTTTCTTCAAATTTCTCATGGGTCGAAATACTAAGTTGCCTAGCAATGCAATACTGTAAATGTCAGATAAAGCCTGAAATACCATATTTTTTTAAAGTATTGTTCCATTCAAATTATGTTTTAAACATATTAACTTTTTATGTTCTATGCCAACTAATTAAAATACTTTATCAGCGTCTCTCACTGCATGTGCATTTTCACTCGCGTTTATACAGGTCGATAAAATACTCTTTTCAGTTGACACACATAAACATAGCATTTAATATAAATTTGAAATAAATCTAAATTCTTAATCATATTCACCCAAAAAAAATCTCCTCTATTTTTGAGATTTTTTTTTATTATTGAGCGTTTTTGAAACTTCCGTTATATGTAACCCATTGGACACTGTATCAACAATTTGCATCTACAAATTACAATGATAAAGTTGTTTATTTTGAATATGATACCATAGAAGGAAGTGCGAACAAACTGGAAATATAATGTGCAAATGCTTTCATTGAAAAGCACAATTTGTACTTTAAAAAAAAGATTTGACATAAAAAACATTTATCATATCCCTCTTTTTCATGCGTCGCGTTGTTGTTTAGAACATTTTAAAGTGTACCTGATTGAGTCAAATACCCCCAAAACAGTTCTGAGGTTTGGAGTCATATCAGTATGAAAATTCATATCAGTAGGAAAATGACAAATGAACATTTGAACTCTGTAACTCTTCTAGTCAAGTTAAGGGAAGGTGACTCTCACGACTTAAAATGTTTGATGGAGGTTTTTTCTTTAACTAGAGCACTTAAGTAAGTAAAAGTGCATATTCTCATAGGAAAAGATAAATGTATTATAGTTTTTAGTAACTTAAGGTTTTAACTAACGTTTAGCAGTTTTCTTGTAAAATAAACTAAATTAAACTGTTTTAAAAATGTTTCTTCAATACATTTTATATTAATTGATTTTTTATATAATTTGTTAATGTATTTAACACTTTTCAGTTTATTGTTGCATGTTTATCTATTTATCCTCCCTATAAACAACGCCATTGATATATGTATTGATTCCGATACGATCATAATAGACCTGTCTTGTGGAGCTATACTGGTGTTCGACCAAGAGTTTACTTTGGCCAAGTTGAACTGTTTGTGGGTTGATAAATTTTTCCTCTTTCTCTTTTCTGAAACCTGTTATGACAGTTGGTCAGATTTCTCTTTAATATATCTACGTACATTATAAAATATGAACATCTCAGACAAACCATGCTAATCTCCTTTGGTTGAATGTATAATGTACGCAACTGTTACTCAAAGCGCACTTTAATGACTTGCTAAAGTAGCTAAAGATAAGTAAGAAATATATATTCTTTTAGTCTAGATGATTCAAAAATCTTAAAATATGCATTTATTTGTCCCGCTATAGGGGCTGGTAAATAGATTAACCCTTGTCCGTCCGTCCATGCGCCCGTCCGTTCTCATGTTCTGTCGCACGTAGCTCGAGAAGTGTTTGACCTAGGGTAATGTTGCTCAGGATCTGTAGTTGTGCACCTTGTGTTTGCGCGTGGATTAATTTATTCAATATTTGTAGAGTTATTACCCTTGAATAAGTAAAAATTTGCAATTTTCAACTTGTGTCGTGGGTAGCTCAAAAGGTATTTGACATAGAGTCATGAAACTTTACAGAAATGTTGGTTAACATGTGTTGTTGTGCATCTGGGGGTTTAATTGTGGATTTATTCTTTACTTGTAGAATAATTGCCCTTGAGTAAAAGCCGTTCCAAAATGTTGTGTTACATGTACCTTAAGTGCTTTCCCTTGACTTAGTATGTAATTTACAAGAATGTTGGACAGCATGTGTAGTTATGCACCTTTAGGTTTACTTGTAGATTTTTTCAGTATTTGGGGAATTTTGGTATTTGACATAGCAAAAATATTTGACCTAGAGTCAGTAGGTAACAGTGGAGTGTGGCAGCACCCGTGTCTTTCAGACAATAGTGCACTCGATTGGTCCATATTGTGCTAGGATTGCCTAAATTATACATACTTTTTTCATGTAATGTGATAAAATTATTAGGCTTACCTGTAGTTTTTACTGTTACTTGAGAGTAGTATATAATTAAATAGATTGTGGCCCCAGTTGCAAAGATTTGTTCATGCCCCATCACCCCCCCCCCAGACCTGACTTCAACTTTGATCATGAAATAAGAACAAAAAATATGCCCGACCGTGTTGTGGAAGGAGAAGAATGTGGCTAGTATTTTTTCATTAAAAAGATACTTGTATAAACTTTTAGTTAAAACCTTATGTCGAGGCCTCACTTTAGTTGATATTTTCATTAACTTTAAGCATTGCAGACAATCATGTGTGTATGTGTGTATTGTACTGCAATTTTATTTTACATTATTCATTTTCACGTCAAAGTCGTATGTTTTGATATGTTTGCTTTATAAATAAGAAATATATGAAATAATAATTTTTTTTGGTTTGTCTTCAAGTAAATGTATATGCCTACTGTTGTCATAGTCATGTATCCCCATACCTTCAATAATATAAAAACTACATCTGAAATATTTTGTACCGCCTCCGTGGTCGAGGGGTTAGAGTCGATGACTTCTAATCCAGTTACCTCTCTGGCGTGGGTTCGATCCCCGGGAGATGCTTTGGCAGTTTAGCACGGAGGAAGGTAGTCTAGTACTGGTGTAACTCTACAGTAACGATGGTTAAGAAACTACCCACCTACATGACTGAAATACTGTTGGAAAAGGCGTAAAATGAAACAAACAAACAAATAAAAGATTTATAAATGGTTATCTTAGGATCGATTCTCAAAAAGGTTGTAACTCATATATCTTTTACTTAATACTCATAAATAGTGTATGTTAACAGAATAAAGTATATAACAAATCTTTAGCTGTCATGTATGTATATAGTTATTTTAAGTAAATATTTAATCGTTTACTAATGATATCGTGCATGCTCCATCTGCTTTAAAGGATATATATAAATAATTCTTTCATACAGTTATTTACAAAATATTCTTTTTCTTAGTTCAAACAAAAACTTTGTCGACCACAAACAGCAAACAGCAAATATTAAGCTTTTTTATATTTCAATGGTAACTGTTAGCACAAGAAATGTATTTAAAAAATGATAATGAAATTAATATGATATATTAATATTACATATGGTGGACATGAATTATTTGTGAAAGGCATTTACACATCTTTCTCAAATGTATTATATATGTATTCGATATAAACGGGTCAGTTTATGTTTCTCAGATTGCAAACTACATTTCCAGAACTAATATACAGTGTAACTTCTGAATTCCGGAACTTCTAAAATCCGGAAACTTCTGAAATCCGAACATTTTTCAGGGTCCCTAAATTTCTCCTTCTGTTTCCTATGTTATCAAAACCTTCTTCATTCTTTATAAGGAGAAAAGTTTTATTCCTGTAACTGTCTGGTGTATTTATTTTGATGACTTTTGCAGAGTAATGTATGAAATATTCAAAAAGAAGAAATGAATATTTTACTTGTGTCTCCCTATAAGTGTCTTCAACATAGAACCACATATTAACTCTTTCAATTAATTTATTTTTATCCCATTCTGTCTCTTTGTATAATTTCTTACACAAAACAAATTGTTTGCTTAAATCATTTATACATTAGATGCTGTGAAATTATTTCTTTCACAGTAAGTTTTCATCAAATTTGTTCAATCATTTATTTCTAGCATTTGATGAAAAGTCATGGTTGTTGTCAACTTAAGATAAATGATTGTAAACGTCATCAGGCAATGCTGTATTATTCGCCTGTGTTGTTGAGTCGTTAGTAGATTCGGCATGGTTGCTATATTGTGCTGTGTTGTACAAATTATTACATTTTTCTCCCTTCCTGGCAAAAGATGTTGAACTGTACTTGTCACTTTCCAAATAGTTGTATAAATTGTTTGACGGGTTAGATGAACCATATTGAAATCTACCAGCAATATCGTATTCATCAATCTTTGAATTTTGGTATGCATTATTCGAGTATATTTTGGATTTTTTAGGTTTCTTGACAAGGGCATACTCTACACTTATGTCGGAGGGATTACTTTCGATTGTATGATGTTCTAATGATGTTGGGCTATCTTGAATATTCTCAGAGTTAACGTTCAACTGACCATGGATTCCTTCAGATTCTCGCTGGTGAAACTGGTTTATTCTTCGATTTTCGCTTTTTGAATAATTGAAATGCCAACATTTTATCCTTGAAAATAATTTAAATTTATAATTTCAAAAATATTTCTGTAAATACCAGTGTCCATTATTGATGACTTAATTATCTTTTGATTTGTTACGATGAGGCATTTATATAATCGTGCAAATAAAAACATAATAAATAATTATGTTATTATCTCTTTAAATTAAAATTGGTAATTTTATCTTTAAATTTTATTCACGATGTTCATAAAATAAATTGATTTCATTTTTCTGTTATTGAATAATTTGCAAAATGCGTATGTATTTTTTTTTTAATTTCTTACCTTTTCTTGTAAACGTACATAATAATCAAGACTCCACATGTCAGGGGGAATATAATTCCAACTGGCAGACCAATTTTGACACCAATGTCTGAAATGTTTTATGCAAAAATGCAGTCCTGCGAAATCGTTTCATACATAAATTTGCTGTTTTAGTACTTTTTGACTGTAATAAGTTTAGATATTAAACTTAAAAGCTGACAACGATACTGTTAAAATAGTATTGTAAATGTTTGTAATAAAACCACAACCTGAACGTTCTTCTTTTTGTTCAGTTTCCTCCTGTGTTGTCTTCTTACTTGATTTATTTTCGGTCGATTCCATTGCAGTGACCTGTTGTCTCCTTGAAGTACTGGATGTGTCTGCAAACATCTTTGATTGACTTGTAACTGAAATGTCTGTACTGCTGACAACTCCAGACTGATTTGCAATTGTTGTCGTTTGCTCTTTGAAAACAAGATTTAAGATGAAAAAAACTCGAAATCTAGAGATGTTATATTTCCGATCCTTAAGGATTGTTCAGCAAGACATTAATTGTTGTGTTTGTGATATTTTTAGTTTTAACTATTTAGCATTTTCAAGTCGAGTAGTTCCATTATTCTACTTGAATAATGTAAATTCCCCTTAGGATATGTTGCCAGCTTTTTCAATTGTCTTTTGACCTCATATCTGAAATATGCAGGCTTCATGACCTCTGATCCCTTTTCCAAATTCCATTTTATTTAGTTACGCCCATTGTTTATTGTTTAAGGGCAACGCCTTTTTTATGAATTGGGAACCATACGCTGCTTTTCATAGAATAGCAGTACTGTGTCACATTGCACGTTCCATGATGACCACCATATGAACACATCTGCGGATGTTTCTAAATTCAGAATTTTACCATTGCATATTTAAATGTTGAATTCTTCTTAAGCCGATGCTATTTGGCGTGGACGGTAGTAGGCACTTGACAGTGCCGTCCATGAACAGGCTCAATCAAACCGAGCCTTCAACATTTTTAATTTTGCCGTGTTGGAATTTCTTTAGGAATTCTTTTTTCTCTACTATAGTATCAAAACATTTACTACTATGTTACTAACGGATTCAAATTTAATTCCAACATCTTACAATACATAATGAAGTAGTTTAAATTTTAAGAAATAATTCCACTTGGAGTTACCAGTATTTGAAAATGACACATATCGTCAATAAGGTTTAAAATACAAACTACTCAATATTTGCTTATAAATTCAAAAGTTAATAATTTGTATATTCAGATATACTTACTGCCAAAGCATTGCGTATTCTTTTCCCCTGTCCATGTATTTGAGCCTAAAGAATTAAAAAGACAAATGTTTATGTTGCTTTGAATAGCGACATTAATTTTAAAAAAAGAGAGGGGGAACGAGAGAGGAAGAGCCAGCGAGAGAAATGAAAATCATCACACTTGAGTCAGGGAATCGGTTCTTTTGCTTTTGTAAGGGGTCAGGAGTGATGCTACCTTAATTTTTTTCTGTCGCATTTTCAACCTGCTGGTTCAAAGTTATATGTTTGTATAACGATGGGTAGTAAAACAATAAATGAAATAAACAGGTATTCCTTTACTTGTGAGTGTACTAACACGTGGTAAATAATGCGACAGATTAAGCTTTGGTTACACTAAAAATCCTAACTTAAAAATTCAAGATATCCAGGTCTTGGGAAAAAACTAAAATTCATTGAATCATATATTGAAAGCGAATTTTATATATAACTATAACTATATATATATATATATATATATATATATATATATATATATATATATATATATATATATATATATATATATATATATATATAGAAATGAGAGACACGCAGGGGAAAGTATAACTGCATTGAATTTAATTATCTCCCTTTATATATATATATATATATATATATATATATATATATATATATATATATATATATATATATATATATATATATATATATATATATATATATATATATATATATATATCAAAGATCAAACTTCACCCCGTCAGGGACACTTCAGATTTCAGTTACTCATGGTATTTCATTGCAAACTCAGAAAGTTTTCCATATCATTCATTTGATATTTTTTATGAAAAGATTCTTAAAATTGTATAACTGTATGTATTAAATTGATTTGTCAATTTAATTTATGCTGAAATTTTCGCTTTGTAATGACAAACAAATATATGAAGATCTATTTAATAGGGCAACGTGTACAGATTGATACCTCGTTTGATAATAAATAAGAGAATACTCATCTTTTTTAACCCCGTTTGTTTTCTTAATATTTGTACGTACCAGTAAAGTTGCAAAGTGAATATCGTTCTCCTTTACAATTGGCATAATATTTCCCAGCGGACCTTTTGTACACACCACAATATAGACGGTCTATTTCAGTTTCGCTTCCAGTTTCTTGAAATGGAAACAAGCCATCGCTTCATCATTATTAATTCGTTTAAGTCTTACAGAAACCGATGAAATAACAAACCTCAGCAATTAATTAGGTATTATTTAATAAACTGAAAGATCAGCAGCATTATCAATATCGTCAATGTAAAACTTTCAAAAATATGAGTTTTGCATGTAAAGCGTAAGCCTAATCCTCCACTAAATTAGATTGCGTTTCGCTAACCAATGTGAACTGTAGTTAGTATATATTTGAAATGAGCATCAATGTTAACTTTTATATTCATCAAAGGCAGAATTTTGAAAAAGTTACTCATCAAGTGTTAATTACCCTTTGCGATTTTAGCGTGAACATCATTGCTTGTCCAATAATATCCTGATTTAAAATCGAACTGTATGGCTGATAACCTTTGCGTTTGAACTATTTCATTGCATTGGACATTTCGTCGAGAACTGTTGTACACGACCCACTGTTTTTCTGTGTGAAGAACATGGATTTAAGATTTAAGATATATTTAAGTACAATAGAGTATCAAAATTTAAAATACTTTTTTAAAACAGACAAACCACGTAAAGTACACAGATTAGTAAATGAAGGGAAAAAGAGTTGTAACAACATTAGTTAGCTTTTTGTCAGAATGCAAATAAAACAAGATTTGATAATTTTTTATTGCTGCTTCCTTGCTGTTTCTAAAAGCTGCTAAAAACGAGGCTAAAACATGAACTTTAAAATAAAATGTTGTAATTTTGCGCAACCAAAAGAAGGCATTTGTTCAAGCTTTATGTGTATGATTGCTTTGTTGAATGTTTTAACGAACATAGCTTTCATCTAACTTTCCAATTTGTCATGAGGCATTATTCTGAAACCATAAAATAGAAAGACACGTTATGTTTAAGAACATGCTTGCTTGCAAATCTTTCAGTGTTATGTGATGCATAATAGAAAACAAAATGTAGGCCAAAGCTTCACTAGCTAATGTTTGGGGTAAGTCAATGCTGCAGAATATATGCAAAGTTGAAGGTCTGATATGTATATCATTTCGTGATGACTTAAATGGTCTAGTAGTAACGTAACTGCAGAATAATACATAATATCATGATTGATTCTAATGCATTTGAAACTTGGTGTGCCATATTTTCCTATAGCTTTAGTATGAAACCTTAAAGAGTTGCAATGTAACTAAAAGTTCAGACCTTCTTATGTTTACACAGACTTAAAAAATCTAAACATTATTTTTGGACTGATAAATTTTATAAATAACAAGATATTCATATAAGGTTATTCCAGGCAATGACCTTTACACAAACTAAATGAGTAACGAATCAAATTTATGTACATGTATTACTAGAATACCATCACTCGGCGTTTTATCAAATTTACAAAATATCAAGTCTTCTCGCTTTGTATCAAGCAAATGATGCAATGATACGATAAAATGTATTGAAGATGATGTTGCTATTGCCGGAAAATGTCATAAAATACTCTTACATGCATGTATTATAGATTATCTGAGTTAACACTAATCCCTGTTATACACTTGTGAACTTCACAAAGACCGACGGAAGTTAAATAACATAATGAGCTAGGTTCGAAATTTAAGACTTTGGAAAGGAATACCGATAATGTAGTGATCCTTGCACATCGATTAAATTGTCACCTTGTATAATCGCAAAAACAGCAGATAATTTTTAAAAAAAAAGGTTTCTGTTATTTTATCTTTATATAATTCTTAATCTTGTTTGCATCATCATCAGATTTATTTTGACAAAACATACTTATACCTGCATTTTTGCAAAAGTAGTTTCTGTTTGCGTTACAGTCACCGTATAAATTTTCCGCATTCTCAAGTACTGTGCTGTTAAGGTAATTAAATCCACAAAACTGTGTTGCCCCTAGAAAAGAAATTAATATGACACTACAGACAATTGTCATCTTACTCGTATTAGTAGACGTTAATTTGAATTCATTTCCTGTCAAATAATTGACATTATTTTAATCTCAGATTATAGCTTAAAGCTATGTGCCCGTCTCGTTACGCTTTGAATTTAATTTACAAAATGACATTTATTTTTTTTATTACAATATTTGTTACTCGCAATCAACGTCATAAGGACCATTGTTTACTCTTTTTGCAGCTTTCACATTAGAGATATTTTTCTAAGATCCAAGGGCTACTTTATTTAACTTTTTTTCTTTATTGATTTGACACGTGAGCCCTTCGTCAATTGTTGGAGGCAGTATATTACAGTGATGGTTACATATAATGAATTTCCTGTCATATTAATGCTAATACATGTATGTTTACTGTAAATTACGGTATTTACAGTAAATGTATGGTGAAATATCATATTATTTGTCTGTCTTTTGAAACTATGGCATTTGAATCACGCTCGCTATTTCAGGCAAAAAAGTTATTATTTGTTATTAAAGTTTACATTTTATTAACTGCATCTTGATAGAAACCAAAATGTGAAACGGTAAATAAATAAGAACAGTCTACTAACGATAATGATAATCTATAAACCTTAAATTGTAAAAAGTGTGTTTGTTTGTTTGTTTGTTTGTTTGATTGATTGATTGATTGGGTTTTACGTCACAACGACACAATATAGGTCATATGGCGACGTTCCATCTTTATTGGTAGAGGAAGGAAGACCTCAGGTGCCCTTCTGTGCACCTGAGTAGAACCACCGACGTTCCATAAGCTAGCTGGATAGCTTCCTCACATAAAAGGGCCCAAAGTCCCTGTCGCGATTCGTACCCACAGCAATGAGGGGCAAGTGGTTTGAAGTCAACGATCTTCATCACTCGGCCATGGACGGCACCAAATTGTAAAAATAACCAATCAATTGGTGTTTTAATGATGTGTATTACTTAATGTATTTACCTCTTTGTAAATAATCGGCCATCCAAAATTCTGTTTCACCATCTAGATTCAGCGCATCTATATTGCTTCTTAAACCTGTCACAAATGAAGCAAGTTCTCCGCCACTATATTTACAGAATCTGACTGCATCTGACCAGCTTAAACGCTTCATGTTACAGGAAATGCCAAATATATCATCTGTCACAATATGCGATGCGTAATAATAATTTGGATTTAATATCACCAACATACATAATACATGTAATTATTGGTTTGCGTAACAAGTTGGGCATAGAAAAATTTACTAAGCACATAAAAATAAGGTCACGTTATTTAGGAAAGCCTGTAAGACTTACGATATTTTGATTGTCAAAGTCTTTTGTGTGTGTGTGTGTGTGTGTGTGTGTGTGTGTGTGTGTGTGTGTGTGTGTGCGTGTGTGTGTGTGCGTGCGTTGGTGTGTGTGTGTGTCTGTGCGTGCTTGCGTGCGAGTGTGTGGGTTGGTGCGTGCGTTGGTGTGTGCGAGTGTTTTGATGTTCTTTCTCTTTTGTATCATAGTCAAACATTAAAACACGTTCCCTGTTGTCACAATATGAAACCCCGGAAAAAGGTCACCAATGAACGAGCATCTGAATACGACTATTTCTGTCGCTTTCCCTTTCTCTTCCGTCACAATAAGTAAACCCCAGCAAAAATGAGCCAATCAATGGGCATGCTATGGAGTGCGGGTAACTAATACCTGCACTCCAGTTAACGCACTGTGCATGTATATGTATACGATTTAACTCTGACACATTTTCAACAGACAGGTCCCCAAACTATGATACAATTTATCTAAAACAACTTTTGTGTAAAACTTACCTTTTTTAACAGGTACATATAAACCAATTATATGAGGCCAATATTCATATTACTATCACTATAAAAAGTGTTTTAATTATTGAACGCTCTTACATTGGTGTTTAAATACACTACAAGTTTGTAATAACAGAAAAAGATTTAAAAAAAAGTAATTTCAGCCAAACAAATTCTAAATAATTATTTTAAATTTGTGTCAAATGATTGCTCCTTAGATCTGATTGGCCAAAAAATTGTCTTTTTATGTTATGGATTGACGTGCATACTAGACAGATTTGTCGCTTGAACCGGATGGAACTATAGCAGATGCTGTAGGAGAGTAGTATAACTTATAATTCTGATATATATCTATTGAAAGGTAGTAACGTCAAATGATCTTATAAGTGTATCATTATTACAATAAAAATATTTTTTCAGATTATTGTTAATGTTATGCTGGAAACCCTTTATATTTATGATATAGGCCATACTGAAATATCCTTTTGGTTATAAATATAAGGACATTTCAAACTTGAGTGCACCTGGATTGCACGTGCTTCGTGAAGAACGCAATAGGTATACTAATTCACATTCAGTTATGCATATGTGTAAAACATAATAAGGAAAATAAATATAAATACGGGGCATGGGAAGGGGGAAGGATATCTAATATTATAGGTAACATGCCAAAATTTTAGATAGACCACATGATTGATTGATAATAAAGCAATGCCCGACATGCAATCATTCATCAAGACACGTGTTTAAATGACATAATTGAATATATTGCTTCCGACGACCATGTTAAAAACCAAAAAGAATTAAATTAAACATTCGCGTATGAACGCAATTAAAATAGTATATAACCACATACCGAGATATCAATTAAAATTAAACTGGTTTTATTTCAGGCGAATGCAACACCAAACAACATCCAACAGTTTGCTGTAACTGCTCTCTCCGTCAGTTCAAATCTGACATGCGCTTAATTACATTTAAAGTATTAAGTTTTAAAGTTAATTAAAACTGTAAGAATGTAATGCAATGTGTATATATTGATAAGAGAGTTATAATAGGAGTAAGTCGGTACATGTATAATGGGAGCAACAAACCCCCAGTCACCCGGATCAGTCTCTTAATTTACGGAGTGGTTACATTTATTTTTAAAGTGTTTATTGTTATACTGCAATAAATAGGTCTCAGATCCTTTTGACTTAGAAATATATAAATTTCTGAATCTAAGTCTACTATGACCGGATATTTGCTTCTATTCAATTTTTACTTAATATATCGATATGATTTTTCTAACTATAATTTGATAAGAACATTTCATTTTATATCACGCATTTCATGCATGTGCATGGACACGAAGTATTTTTTTAAATGTTGAATCAATATTGAAACATTCAATTATTTAAGTGTCAAAATAAATGTACATGTTGAAGATGTTTAACAAAACAATAAGTTTTGAAGTACCTTGTTTAGAGTAAGCCAATGTTTTCACCAAGATAAATGCGAAACATACGAATTCTTTCATTATTATCCAACATTTGAGCCGCTAACTTAAAAATGAGACGTTAAAGAGGAACTTACTTTCTGCTAAGGTAAACAAATGGAAGAATATAGAAACTTGTTATCATCTTATTAAATGCGATACTTGATGAATATGTTCAATGTTCGGTTTAAATAGATAAGAATAAACTCAGTTATTGATCTGACTATAATAAAATACGTTTTTTTGATAACCGGATATTGTCACAGTTAGATTTATGTAACATTGCTATTGCATATAACCGTTGTATAATAAATTTCCGACTTATCGCTTTATCGTTTTTCGTTTTCAAAGTTAAAATATTAAGTTTTAAAAGCAATGAGGGTCGTGACTAAATCTCGATATAACGTAAACAAGATGACAACGATGCAATGGATAATTAATTTTTTCTGCAATCTCTTCAGAACAATAACTTTTGACGACTTTCAAATTATACAAATATCTGAAATTACGTGACTAAAGCGTTCAATAAAATCTGGGACATAATAAGTTATAATATATGCCGGATAACAAATTGATCATAAATTTTAAAAATGCTCAAACGTATCTAGTGGCGGAAGTTGCTGGGACTATCAGTTACTTTTTCAACTTCAAATATGTATTTTAATCAAAATGTTAACTAGTTACATGTACTACAAAAGTAACGCGAAATAGTTGTCCAAAGTCGCTGCTTCGATCCTCCTTGAACAAGGTGAAAATTCTCTTTGACAATTGATTTCGGACATTGAGTCTAATGGTTATTTGTCACTCACCGCTGTTTCACAAATATTGTGGATAAGTCGGTCACTTGCGAAGAAATTGTTAATTACTTGTAAGTTATTCTGTTCATGGAAATTGTTAAAGTTAATCCGAGATATGACCAAAATAGTATGAAATCGATTTTAAAAAAAACAACAAAGAAAAAACAGAAAAGCAAAAAAAAAAATAGTCAAATGTTCCAGTATGCTTTTATGTTAAATAAAAACATTTCTTGGTTCTTTTTGTAATACCTTTTTTATTTTTTTTTTATTTTTATTTTTTGATGTGCGTAAAATTAATCAGAGAGACAAACCAGTCGAGACATTTTCGAATGCTTCGACTGTTACGGGCTCAACGTTTTAATGTATTATCTCCGGAATCTGGTTAGCAGGGACAGCCGAAGTAGTCAGTGGTGTTTTGGCTTGTCTGGCTTTAAGGCTAACTTCACACACAACTGATATTGGATACGAAATTAAACAAGAAAGAACTTAAGACCAAAAACGATAATGCATTAATAACATAAAGTATTTTATGTTGGAATTTTCACTAGTATGAAATTTTATAATAATGTTGGTACATGTGATACTGCGTACTTTTAAGATTATTGTCAAATATAACAACGCCCATGATTTTAGGAACTTTTTTAAAAAGTTTATTACTGCTAGTAAATATTGCAAAATCTTTGTAACACTTCAGGTGAACAATCTAACACTTATTGAATTTTGGAATCATCTAATTGTCCATATGAATTTGCCTACATAATCTGCATATAAATTGCTTTTTAAGTGTTTGTTCAAACAAAAATGTCTTCCAATTATTCTAATTGTTCTTTGTAGAAAAAACGTCATTGACATATATATTTTCATTAACACGATACTTGTGGACTAGTTTTGCAGAGCCATACAGGTGTTCGTCTAATTGCCTTTGCTCTAGAGTTTCATAATCGTTTTGTTCAGAAACTGTTGTCAAGTTAGATTCTTTCATAGGCTTATCATGTCTTTCTCTTTGTCTTTTAAAAAGTCTGGAACGAAATAATATTTCAAACTAATCACTTTTTTTTCATCGAGAATTTGAGTTTAATTTGCTTTAAGTTGTGATGTTCTATAATTTCAAAATTAACTGCCATTTTATTTCAATGTTGTATTTTGTTTTAAATTGTAATATTCTTAATTACATATTAACTGTCATTTTATTTCAATGGTATAATTTGCTGTTGTATTTCAACAATTTGCTATATATAGACACATGTTTCAAAAGTCATGAAAGATCTTTTTTTTATTCTGCAAAAGAAAATAATTCTAACATTCTACATTTTCCAAAACGGGCATAAAGTATTTTAAGTCCCAGATTTACATAAAAATGTTTATATCATTTGTTTGGAATAAACAGTATATAAAGCTGCATGCCTCCAATCACAATTAATATTTGAGAAAAATCTTGAGTAAAATTTGTGCTATTTGCGCCAAAAAATCTCCGTTGCGTTATTTAATCGTACCGGTTAAAAAGTTTATGGAGCAGCAAAATTTCGGTACACGGTTCGATCGGTCATATAATAGTGCATGGTGGTATTGTACCTATAATGTTCACTGTTACTATTTATCGGAATATGAAATAGTAAAACGCTTTTCAGAAAACAATACGGTAATTGATTTAAAATACAATTTAAATGATTAAAACGGAATGAAACATCCACGTAGCGCTAAGTGACGTAACTGATATTTTCCGAGCATGCGCAAAACATTTTTTGTAGACTGCTTCTAATGATTTTACGCTATAAATAAGATTCATACACTTCTGTGTAACAATCAGATACGCAAAAATGGATGCCGCCAGCAATCAGTCTGAACACTATAGAGAGGTCTGATGACCTCTCCAATAATTGGAAATCCCTTTAATAGGCCTCATATGTAAATATTTTTGCGCATGCGCATCAAGACGAAATCCCTCTAAAGTTTATAAAGTCATGTTTTGACAACGCACAGGTGAAGGTGATTTCAAATAAAATAGAGAAATACAGAATCCCTAAAGAAAGCCCAACACGGAAAAATTGAAATTGTTGCAGGCTCGGTTTGATTGAGCCTGTTCATGGACGGTACTAGAAAGTGCAAGTTACCGTCCACGCCCCCTAGCACCGGCTTAAGCAGAATTCAACATTTAAACATGAAATAGTAAAATTTTTAATTTAGAAACATCCGCAGATGTGTTCATACGGCGGTTAACATGGAACCTTCAATGTGACACTTCCGTGCCATTCCATGAAAAGCGGCGTATGGTCCCCAAGTAATAAAAAGCGTGTGCCCTAAACGAGAAAACAATGGGCGGAACTAAATAAAATGGAATTTTGAAAGGGGAACAGAGGTTATGAAGCCTGCGTATCACAGATAAGACGTCAAAAGACAAATTTAAAAAGCAGGCAACATATCCTAAGGGTGATTCAACATTATTCAAGTAGGAATATTGGAACCACCCAACTAGAAAATGCCGAAAAGTTGAAACTAAAAATACCACAAGCACAACAATAATGTCGTGCTATTTTCAAGGATCGAAAATATAACATCATTGATTAAATGTACGGGGAGACTTTTTACAGCCGCCACACGGCACAAATAACACGGATGTGATCATAAAATAGAGAAATACAGAATCCCTAAAGAAAGCCCAACTAGGAAAAATTGAAAATGTTGCAGGCTCGGTTTGATTGAGCCTGTTCATGGACGGTACTGGAAAGTGCAAGTTACCGTCCACGCCCCCTAGCACCGGCTTAAGCAGAATTCAACATTTAAACATGAAATAGTAAAATTTTTAATTTAGAAACATCTGCAGATGTGTTCATATGGCGGTTAACATGGAACCTTCAATGTGACACTTCCGTCACACTTCCGTTAAAATCTTTTTGTACGTATTGCCGAACTGACACTTAGATTTCGTCTCGTTCATACATCTGCTTGATTTAATATGAAATTTTAAAGAATGCAAGTAAAAATTACGTTTTTAAATGAAAAATACGGGTACTGCTTCTGTACGGGAACTGCTCGCATGCCAGTACAGTATTTAAAAATACGTGTAATAAGTTATTGGTGCTTCGTGGGCTATTTTATCACATAAACTCCAAAGGTTTAAAAGAAATGGCGTCGATGTCAAAATAACATTGTTATATACCATGATAATTATTATGTAAAATATAACAAAGTTATTATACATTGTTGAGTACAATACTGAAAATTCTATATTGGACAAGTAAACAACTGTTAAACCTGTTTGCTCAGAATGAAATGTCATTGTCGTAGATTCGTTATTTCTTTTCCAATAATAAAATATTTTGAAAACTTTATTTGTATCCAATCAAATTGTTCCTTGTAAAATACCAATTGATAATACCTTGTGTTGATGAAAGTACAACGTTGACGAAAATTGAGAGTATACAACCCTTCATAATTTCCTGCTATTGAATAAAAACCTAGTAAAACATTAAACAGGAAGTCAAAATTGAGTAGATAACTCTTTAGTCTCTAGAGGAAGATGGCAGTTAATATTTGTTTATAGATATAAAAAATCCGTCTGTCGTCCTATCTAAAGCTCGAAGGTTTTGAACGATCAATCTACCACTTTTCTTAAGTAGTTTTATCAATGAATGAAGACAAATTTGTGTTTAATTTAGGCATTAGGAATTTCAGGAAAGTACGCTTTTAAAATATTGATGATCGATTACATTTGTATTGATTTTATTCTTATCTTTTTTCTCCCTTTAGTACTAAATTATAAAAAGATTGTCCCACTCTTTTAAACTATATTTACAGACATTTCCCTTAGTTACGTGGATTATTGATTATCTTTTCATAGTAAAATATAAAATTGAACATAATTATGGCAAAATGTTAAGGGCTTTTTATTGTTATTATTATTTTTTTTTTTTTTTTTTTTCACTGATCATTTAAACTTGGATGGCCATTATGACAACAAGTTTGCTTCTTTAAAAAGAAGCATGCGAGAGGTCTTTTTTGCTGCTGTGGAAGATTTGTTTAATTTGAAAATATCTGGAAATAAGACACAACAAATGGTTATAAATTACAATTATTTAACAAAATATAATTTATTATATAAATTGAATATATAGTATCATAATGAAAGTTTGTTTACACTTCATTTTTTAATGTTTTGAAAGATTATATGCTGGAGAAATGGATTTTTTCCTTGACGCATTAGGGATACTTTTTATACAAAGGGAACTAAATTTTAAAAAATGATATGTATATTAAAAGTAGTATCAAAATAAAAGTTTCTTGTAAAATTCAATCAGCAAATTTTCGGTTTATGTTTTGGTAAGTATATGAAAACATTTCCTCTACGTTTTCCAAAACGGGCATAAAGTATGTTAATCAGATAATTTTAAGTCCAGGATTTACATAAAATGTTTTATATCATTTGATTGGAATAAACAGAATATAAAGCTGCATACCTCAAACCACAATATTTTAAGAAAATCAAACGTGTGTCAAATTTGTGCCACTTGCGCCAAAAAATCCCCGTTGCGTTACTTAGTCATACCAGTTCAAAAGCGGTGCAATTTATCGGAACAAGAAATAGTAAAACGCTATTAAGAAAACAATACTGTAATCGATTTATACAGTTTAAAAGATTAAAACGGAATGAAACATCCACAACGTAAATAATATTTTCCGATTTTTCTTTGTACCGATCGATTCGTTCACTTCGATGTTCCGTAACGTACCGGAAGACGGTGTTTAGCTAGGTTTTCAAAAAGGTCAATTTTTCGTTTAAGTTAAGTCTTATTTTGAAACGGAGCATGCGCAAAACAAATTTTGTAGACTGCTCCTAATGGTTTTAAGCTGTAAATGACATTCATTTACTACAATCAGATACGCAAAAATGGATGCAGCCAGCAATCAGTCTGAACACTATGGAGAGGTCTGATGACCTCTCCAATAAATGAGATAAACTTAAATAGCTGTGAAATCTCAAATACTCGCATAAGGTTTAAAGGCGAGATGTTTTGGAATTGATCAAATCCACATATTGCAATTATATCAATTGTTGTCAAAGGACATTTTTAACAAGTTCTTACACAAACAAAGGATGTCATTAATTCATATCGTTTCAATTTAAACTAAACTCGAACAAACACACACAAAAGAGCTCAGTTTCTACGTATTTATATCGTTATATTAAATCGACTACTTAGTTAATTCGAGGAACTATGTTATTTTGCTGATTCAAAGAGAAACGGTTCCATTATTTCCAATCAACTAATGATGCATGCATTCAAGCATATTAGTATTAATATCGTTCATATTTCACGATCAATAGATAAATTGACTCCTAGCTTTGTTTTAATGTTATAAACATAAATACTCTACATGTTAAAAACACGACGCCTGAAATTGGCAGTTCTACTGCCATAAGTATATCTAAAAGCAGATAAACAATAAAAGTAGTTTTAGTATTACGCCTGATAAACAACAGAGCTATTTCTTTCGTAGGTATATGATAAATCACTCTATCGCTACATCCGAGCTTGTGCAAGTGGCGACATTTAGCATCAGCAGAAGTTTTGTGTGAAGCCTTTTCTATTGACTCTGAATTCACTTAATGCAGAATGTATGAAAATTTACTGGTTTTCTCACAAAGAGCATTTTCGTGGGTTCTTAAATTCGTGGACATTTAGCGAATTCAGTGTTTAAATAAAAAAAAATGTAGACTGTTTTATCATAAAAGGGATGTCTTGTTGCCTATTATTTACTTGCATTTAAACAGCAAACCAGATTAAAAACGAAAACGTTTTAAAAAGATGCTACGTCTTTTATCTTGTCCAAACCTAATTCAGAACCAAACATTAGTTTAAAGGAAATAAATAGCATTTATTTATGTCTCATGTCATGTCACCAAGGAGATAGTCCTGTAGTAAACGATTTATTAGATAATTTCATGTTCATGATTTTCTTACTTATATTTGTACGTTACACTGGATGAGTTCGTTACTTACTTTTGCAACGCCTCAACGATGTGCTTTCTTTTGCTTTAACGAATCCCACAATTGACATGAAATAAGCGTGTAAATGAATGAAAATACGAAAATTACGTGATCTTAAGTCAGACATTTGGCATACATATGGAAAGAGGCTAATTATTAAACATGGACATACAAATTATTTCAACATTGTACGTGTTAGAGGATGGATGATTGCCATATTACATAGGCGGGGGTTAAAATGATATGGGAACAATATGTATGGAAAGCTGTCGGTGCCAAGGATATATATGATATTAGTTAACCGCTTTAGGAAACAAAGATTCGCTTTACTGTGTGTAAAAATTAAGACCATGCTTACTTATGATTGTTTTATTAGCATTTTTCCTGCTCAAGAGTTAATTTACATAGAAACGAAATGGTTCACTTTTTTATGTTACAAGTCACAACTTCATATACGAAGAACATATAATACACAATACAATATGTACATAATTATAACAATATAATTGCGCAATGAAGTTAAAACTTATTTACAAAGATATGATATGTTACTTGTTAATGTCTTAAATATAACGCTATTTATTGGTAATTATTATGTACTTTTCTTGTCCAATTTCCCGGTAACATTTATAACTTATCGAATACACGAAATATTCAAGTGTCATGTATATGAATATATTAAACAGCATTTTCACCGTAGTGATCTAAGATAAACATGTTTTAATGGAGAATGTTATTAGAGTGTTCTAAGATTATCTTTATATTGCATCATTATGTCGTGAATATATTTACAACTTAGATTGGTGACTCTCTGTTGGAGTTCTGGATTGAACAAAGGGTCCTCGAATGAATTCTTACGAGTTAATCCTAAGAAAATAATTGTATTACTTCAGAGCAAAATTTCTGATCAATGGACTGAAAACAGCATGTCCGTGTATATGTATCACATTCAGCTTAGATATGTCCGTTGATATAGCTAGTTCTCGTAGACATTTCATACACGAATAATTTGTAGAAAACTGCCGACATAGAAGTATTTTCGTTGCACTTATAGCATGTTTAATCTCAGTTTGTATTTCAAAACAGCCATAAATATAAAGGGGTAAATACTGATTGGTGAACTGCTATAAAGCTGTCAAATTCTTTGTAATTGTTAATTCTATGTTGAAACATGTTATTTTGTGCAAGTGCATTGTATTTTCAGTTAAATTTTCCACGTGTTCTTGCATTAAAAATGTGCACCATTCATGTAGTTGGAAATGAAAAAGAATAGTCTGCATATTTCTGGAACAAAGCCGCGTTGCGTTGATCATTATAGCCTTTCATAGCAAATTATTAGTTTTAGTATGTTATTAAATAGTTTTCTTGAAAAATAGTGTGTAGACATAGTACACAGTTTATGTAAGAAAGTTAGCTTTCTTTGGTCTATAAATGTTTCGATAGTTAACTAATTTACTCAGAACCTTGTTCGTTCTAGTTGAATATGGGAGATGTTGTATTTGTTTTATTGCCAAAATAGATTAAAACATTTGATCTTTGTAATGTCAATGTTTGAAATGTTATGCTATAGTTATGCTCCATATAGGAAGAGAAAGGTTTGCCAAACAAGAACACGTGTGATGTGAGCATGATTCAAAAATATATAGTTTGCCCACGCGTTTGAGTCGTCACATAGGATACCACTGTAAATTAACTTTCAGCCCATAACTATGGCGCTACCTCCTTGGCGACAAGGTTTCTTCACGACATAGAACATAAAAAATCATTAATATCCTTTAATAACTAATCTTTGGTTTTGATTTAAAATTTAAATTGCATTCTAGATGTACCATTTTTTTTTAAATCTGGATTGCTTTTCAAAAAAAATATGATGAAATGCATAAAAGGCCAACTCTGAAATGCCGTCACAACTACTGCTCATAAATAAATTTCGTCAACTTTACTTTTCCTGGACGCATTATTCGAAACTGCATGGTAAAACATTCTTCAATTTCGTATTCGGTGCAGAATTTACAAAAATACAAACAATATACTTGACGTGACAAGTGTAAAAAAACATGTGATCATCTCTTATCCGTCAGAAGATTTTGCATCCGTTAACCTTATATATCATGGAGTGTTTCACTTTAATGTTTTGACAAATGATAGCTGTACATAAAAACATATTTCCTTTTTCTTAATTGCCATATGATATATTTAATTGCCGTATAATAGTTTAAATTGACATATGATATATTTAATTGTCATATGATATATTTAATTGATATATTTTGGTATTGCCCTTTGACGGAGGGAGATTCGTAACGAGATATTGAAATGAATTCGGTTGCAAATGAAATGAGACTAATAAAACGATACATTTGACAAATTTCATATTTTGCCCATAGGAAATTAATCAGGCGTGTGTGTTAAACGTCTGATATGATGATTTCTTTCTTTATTTATATAAGAAAGCAACAAACTTCATATTGTTTTCTTGTGTCTAATAAAATTGAAGATAAATAAGTTTTATACAAAATGTAAATAACATGTTATTTTCAGAAATAAGCTTAAATCTAAAGTGTGTAAAGCTATAATTCTGTTGCCCATATTTACAAAGTTATTGTTAAAATATGTGTTTTGGACCAAGTTAATAAATAACAAAAGAAAAAACTTTATTAATTCTTGAGATGTCCTCAAAACAAATCAATATTTAGATTCATCGAGTCAAAAACTCCTGTGAGTATTTATCTTTGTTTTCCATTCATAAAATAAAGAATATATGTTACTTCGTTAACACATTTATTTTAACTCAGTCAAATCAACCACGTCGTCACAAAATACTTTGATGCAATTAAATTTTATCTTCTTATGCATTCTGTAAATGTCAAAAGGATGCTAAACCAGCACAACCAACACAGTAAAATGAGTTCACATGTTGCATTTTACAAATATCTATTTTTTTCGTCTAATAAAATGTTTTTTCCTCCGAGTAATGTCTATAAAAACGAAAAATGCAATAAAAGCAATGATAATTAATATTCCAGCAGCTCCAATACTTTTAGAACTCGCTCGTTTATCACTTGCAGATACAAGTTTTCTTTTAGTCTTACTTGTATCTAACCTTTTAACAATCATATCTTGTAACATTTCTTCAAATTCTAATCTTTCAGCTTCGTCAGTTACATTGCTCGACTTACTGCATATGAATTGATTACTGTTGCTGCAGTTGGCTAGTCGGAAACTGCTTACATTGTTCCTGTTGTATAAGAGAGGACATTCCATGCCAAGTTTGTCCATGTATACTGCAAATTAAATATGATAAAGCAAATGCATGTAAGTAGTGTGACAAAGACATATAAATATTTGTAATACAAATATTGTTACAAGAAGTGATAAAATATCAATGGATTCAATTGATCTAGGCGTCACGTGATCAATGATGATTTGTATATATATTTGACGTTATTAAATGAACAAACTCTCATTATGACAATTGAAAAATGTAATTTAAAATGGATCGTTTAATATGAAACAATCATTGTATTTGAGTTACATTGCATTCCCTGAATCATTTATTTTCATTCAAAACAATTAAGGATTTTAATTTCAATTGAACTGAGTATTTATAAGCGATCAATTATATGTCATGTGGTCGATATTCGTTTTTCGTAATATCATATATACACATATTCTTACCTCCGAGCCAGTACGAGTTGTTTGTCAATATTTGATCAATTGATGGCTGGAAAAACCGCATTGGATTGGAGTATGCCAACAGTTCAGCACCCATTTCCATACAAATATTTCTAGCATTTGAAAAACTTTCTTTTCGTTCCACGACAAGTAAAAGTTTATCGTTTATCCTCACCCAGACTGCAAGAAAATTCTCAAGATAAGGTAAAACAATACATGTATTTTAAGAAATGTAGTAAAGGATTAAAAAAGTAATCATTTTGTTTTTGTTTAAGCAAGAATTTATAACTTCTGTCATGAAAAAATGTATTTACCATTTCTTGAAATATTCTGTGCAACTAAATTGGTGTTCTCCACAGGAGGAATTTGAAGTATCGAATGATTTGTCTCAAGTGATGTACTTGAAGAAGCTGAAATGGCGTTTGCTGCACTGGCAGAAATTCTCCCTGTACTCACAGATGAAGACGTAAACGTTGTTGTTTTATCGGTTGTCAAGAGTTCTGACGTTTGTAAATGGTTGTTGTGCAGCGGTGTTGTAGGAAATGATACCTTTGGTTCAGTGTCACTGTATCTTGAAAATGATAACACTAAAACCGTGCTAGATGAAGGCATTAACCTTGACCTGAGAGCTGTTGACGTAGAAGTCATATAGTATGACGTTATTGACGATAATTCTTGTGCCTTGGATACTTGAGATAGTGTGGAAGATGAAATTGTAGATATTGGCGTAGAAGTTGACATTTTCGGTGTCGTTTTTGCTTTAAAAGATAGATAGCACTAATATTGATTTAATAATGAAAATAGTTTGCTTTGAAACAGCTGTTATCGTAATATGGGATAAAACAACCCTTTAGAACTAAACAAAGATAAATAAAGCAGTAACATTAATTACAAAAGGGTACATATCTGAAAGGGTTATGATTATTGGTGCTAACAATGATTTACAAAAATTATCAATATTGTTAATCGCACATTAAGTCAACTAATGGATTCTAATTTTTTTCTCATGACCGTTTTACCTAATACTTACGAGTTATCTCATAAACAGACAACCGCCAATCACCGCCACAGTATTCGTTTCTGTCTCCAGGACATGTATAGTAGCATTCCGTATCCAAAACTTTGCCGACAGGAAGAGTGTTGCCACAAAAACATTCAGTGCCATACTTTGTATTATAACAAATCAAAATATCGTCATATATAAATTTTGTTTTATCAACATGTTATATTTAACAACGTTTTGTTGAAAACAATTGATTTTGTACACAGTGTACAATTATCGTTATGAATGCATTTGTTAAATTGCGTTAGAACATTTTTCATTAAATATTGTTTCTTATAATATTTATTGCCAACACATTTGGAGAATTTTCTGGTTCCTAAAGAAAGTATTTGATAAAAGCAAAATTAATGCTTAATACCAGAAAACAAAGCAACTTTGATATCTTGTCATTTAATTTCATTAATCAGATGTGTCTAGATATAGACGGACACATTAATTAGTCCATATATGCAGTAAAATTTTCTCAAAGGTTAAATAAATGCAAGTCAATGACTTAATCTTTAGTCGTTTGGTTCGCTTCATGAATACATGAAAGGCAAGTCTCTTAGTTATCTTATATGTATGGAAAAGGAAAATTTTAATGTGTAACTTATTTCAAATAAATCCTTGACTAAATTTTGCAAACAAACGGACACTAATTGTTCCAAATGAATTACTCTTGATCTGCTAATCTTGTATAATAGAATTGACCCGCTACAAACCTTAAACAGTCTTTTAGTTTAAGGATTTCAAGAACAGTAATAAAAACTCGATCGGTTATACAATCCTGACAGACTGACAATGTAAGCAGACCTAGCCTGACTCTCTACTTGTTACAAAATTCCTCATAACATTCCATTTTACAGTTTTGTTTAATGTACTCTTCCCAGCATATGTATTTCCACTGATCTTACACCTTCTTTTGCATTGATTCCCAGTATTAGTGGCACAGTCTTTATACATTTCATGTGACATTGTACGTGGTATGGTTCCTTCTTCTATATTTGCGTCTTTGAAACACCCTAAATAACCTGGTGGCCTTTTCATTTTGTAGGCGGCTTTAATAGAAAACAAATGTGAAATTAGATCAGCTCACCCACTTTATAAGTTAACCTCTCGATCCTGATCATACTATCAACAATTTATCATTTAAACTCATACTGTAAAATTGTGGTTTTATGTTTTGATCTGTCTGTATGCGAATGACATATCAAATCAGTTTCATATATGATTAACAATAATATTACATTATGCACAAACATCTTTATAACTGGCGTCTGTATTCAAATAAAATCGTCTATAATAATTCTTTAGCTTAGCACTTAAAATTCATACCCGAGTATGATCTTTAACATGTTCTAATAATTTGCTGATTTTTTGTTTATTTTAAAACTTTCTACATTACCGTCGTTTGTCAATATACTGCTATACGCCAATCCACCACAATATGTGCTTGTGTTCCCCAAGCATATTCTTCGGACATTCTGCAGGCGGGCACTTTAGTACATTTAATTTTTCCGACCACAAAAACCATCTATCGCTGCCTTAATAAAGACACATGCGTTCCGCTTTAAAGAGACAGGGGATTACAATGGTGAAAGACATACCTTAATAACTTATAAAAATAAGCTAGCCTGTAGGCTAAAGTATCTGTTGTTGGATGACCAAATGTAAATTTATGTTATGTGGCTTATTTCAAGTCAATTCTGGAAAAAACTACGACACGAATTTTGTACTTATTTTCAAAAATAATGTATGGAGAACGTTTTTATATAGGTCATTAAAGTAACATAGCTACACGGCATGATATGTGCAATCCAAAATAAATAAACGAGTAAGGATCTAGGTGTTTTGTTATTCGGGGAACATTAGCTTACAGCTTTATTCAAGGTCACATAATATAATTATGGGCTAGTGAGCCGTTGAATATTAATGTCATATTTGTTTAATTTGATGCCATAAAGAACAAAACACCTAATTAGCAGTCTACGATGTATGGGCACTGAATATGAGTCTCAATCTATATTTAGGTTGGGAAAATCATTTTCATCCAGAAAATATGATACTTAACCGAGTGAATACGGTTTTATTTTAAAATTTGTTCTGTTAACTACCTTTGAACCAATGCCTTTGCAGCTATTTTAGATCATTTAATAAAAATGTTAAACATCTTGACTATTAAAATTTGATATTGCAGTTGAATCGCTGCATTTTATATTCTAGAGCAAACAAATTATTTACCTCTGTTCCACCGTACCTGTATCCTTCCTGCTTACATCTCTGTCTGCATTCTGTTCCTGTGTTGGTTTTACTGTGGTCAAGGGAATTCGGCAAAATTCGTGTTCCTCTATCATTGAAGCATCCGATATAGCCAGGTGAAAAGTATGATCTTCCATCTAAATGATTACAGACATTTATTACTGGCTAATTCTTATATTTCTCTTAATGATAATGATGATGATGATGGTGATGATGATGATGATGATGATGATGATGATGATGATGATGATGACATTGTTAGTTAAATATTATGATTATTTTTTCTAGTCCTTTGTGGTCATTGGTTCCTAAAATGAGCACTGCTGTAGACTGTAGATGTAACATATAACTGAAACTCAAACAGAACTTTTTCATCGCATGTCGCCAGTTGATTTAAAAACATACCATTGCGTACTTTATTTTGGCACACAATTAATGTAGTTTAGGAACGTCAAATGCTGAGGTTTACCGTTTTCCATTTTCTGGCTGTTTGAATGTACACGTGATAAATAATGACAAAAAATAAATAAAGATATATTTTATGACTTATTCAAACCATTCCTTATTTCTATTACAAATATTGAATGAGTCCTCTTTCAGTGACCCCTACCTGACTGCAAACCAAGAGACATTAGCCAGCACCGCGCAAAGCATAGAGTTTGCACACACAGATAGAGCAATAGAAAATATCAATACTCTTTTTTTATTCTAAATGCTATAATAGACCGAGTATACACTTACCTTGAGAATGAGCTCTTACTAAACTGGTGACCTGAAATATCATTATAATAATTTGACAGTCCATATTCCAACTGATCAGACACAAAGAAGATCATTCTTTAAGTGATATTTGGCAAAGTTTTTTATCTAGAATATTTTTTCATAAAAAATTTACGACTTTCAGGAAGACGGAAGCTTTTGTTTATATAAGTTGATATGAACTTTAATAAGTGTTATATTTCATCATGCAAAAGCACATGGTTTTATTGTTTGTTATTAAAGCCTTGACTTGTTTGGAATTTTTTAATAAGAGGATCCCAAATAAGCTTTGTATTTGTTTGATCAAGAAAAAGGTCAATCCAAGGAAGTTAAAATTAAACAAACAAAGTTTAATTTTTATCTTATCATAATACGTCACTTCTATAACAATTTGATTATTTTAATCTAAACAATAGGAAATGAAGCTGATACTAAGCTCAGTCAAAAACAATTTTAATTTCAAAGCTATATCAGGCCTAAGATTTCGCAAACATTTTTTTTATATTTAAAACTTAATGATAATCGATTAATATATTAACACGTATACACGAATAAAAGAGCAAATTTGTTATTGCTTGGATTTTTAACCAATCCTCTTTATGCCCATATCTTTGTACAAACAGTTCACAACCGCAAAGTTTCGGCCTTTTCCGTACATCTCCGGATAAGTTTTATGAATAACCTTCGATGTGTTCCAAATGAAACAGTCCTTTGTTTTTATAGCTAAAGCAAATTATAAGAAAAACTCGTCAAAATCACTGTTTTGAGTTTGAATGAATCATAGGTATTAAACAACTTTTTATATAAAACTATATAATTTATATTCCGATACATAATGAAATTCGTCCCCTAGGACGTTACAGCGACAACAATCTTTCATTTAATGATGTACTCTTTCTCAATAGGAAGCATATGAGCTGACTTTAAATAAGTAACTGCTAACTTCTACAAAATCTGTTTACATTAATAGAATTAAATAGATTTATCTTCTCTTGTGAAATAAATACATTTTATTTTTAGCGAACTTTTTTTTAAATGTGTCTTTGGACGCTTCATTTGTTACTAATATTTATGCTTAAATGCCTACTTCAACTTCAGTCAATAACGTTTTATTTATAATTTGTTTTGTGTCTTAAAATGTTGAAAATATATTTTGAGATATCCGTAGCTCTTTCTAAAAAATAGTAACACATTTTGACTAATTGGATAACAGATATTTGTGGATATCGCATGATATACATGTATGTAATATGTTATAAACACACTACTGTGCGAGGCCGTAGTAGGTCTTTTAACTATACGATTTTTAAATTAGAAATGCACTTATTTATTACGCGATTATGACACAGTTCTGTCCATTTCTTTACTAGCAGTCGTAAAGAACACCTAAACCCTCCCTCCCTTTTCTTTTGTTACAGATAATTGAAAGAGATAGAGAGAGAGAAATTACGATACCGCCGCAGTATCTTTATGCATTCAGCACCTTGCGCGATTATATTATCAATCAAATTGGTGTTACTGAGCGAGCGCCCTTTAACCGTAAAAGGGACCGCCTTTGACCTTTCGGTCGACCATTTAGCCATGTTCCTAAATTTGTCAGTGTTCTGTTTAGGCAGGGTTGCAAAAATCAACTTGCCTGCTGACGCAGTATCGCTGCGTGATTTGCTACAAACCTCTAACACAGGCTTTGTTGAAACAGACATGTAAGTCCTCCTTGACCTTATGGTCCGATGTTTAGCTCAGGCTCTTTTGTGGATGGTGCTTGAATATATAGTGTAGTAATATGTACTACACACCTGCCCTCTTTCATTCGGCTGCTTTTGGTTGTTTTTTATGGGGTATTGTTATCACTTTTTGTATTTATTTATTTTATTTTATTTATTGTTTTATTTATTTTTTTGTAATAAAAATCCCGTAAGCTTCACATGCAAAACTTTACTTTAAATCTTGTTCAGTCTTTCCTTAAGTTTAGATAATTATGCTTTTTAGTAAAACAAAAGGAACTCTCAATACATCAGTGTGCATTTCAGAAAGCATTTGCTTTAATACTTATTTCAAGAAATCTTAATACACATTGTTCATTGCAAGAGATCGACTGGTTGCTTTCTCTTTTGTTGCAGATTACCAGTATCTTTCTTATTCTTTCAGGTCGGGTATTTATGTAACGTATTATCATAGTTTACTGCATATCAAAATGCTATGTTTGTTGCTATGCATTTAGCTAGTACACTCTCATGTTTTTCTCATTCTTTATGTATTTCAATCTGCCACGTCATTAATATTTTATCTTTATTGATACCTATTTTTTAATTTGATTATTTCCTATTCGTATGTGTATATTACAAGGATTTTATTAAAGTCACCGTCTCATTCCTCATTTATAACTTTGTCTCTGTTGTTATTTATTGGTGAAATCTACATCGAAGTCAGTTCTGGGTATGTTTTTGGAATTGCGATTTTCGCGCGCATTTTGTTTGCGTTTGAAATCACAATACTACATTATTTAGTTACTTCCGTTTCAATTAACTAAATTGAGGTTATTCACTTATAAGTGTTTCAATGACCCTCATAATGGATTTTGGTCAATCTTGTGAAATTGTAACTAACTAAGTTCAGCATGACAACGAAAAAATGAGCCTCATGTCTGTTTTAGATGAGGTTGGAATTTAAGTCCAGATTTTTGTCCTATTAAAACTCACAGAGTTTTCTAACTCTACGACCGTTTTGACCGAATTTATCTGATATATCTTTCTCGATTGAAAACAATCCAGTGTTACCAAAAACCATAAAAATAAGTACCAATCCACATACGTCAGCCTAAAACCTCTGAAATGCACGTTATCCATTCCATAAAAGAATAAACCATTTTGAGTTGCAGAAGTTTCGGAACTATTGGTCCAAAATTGTGTAATCCGCTGCCATTAGAGTTGAAACAATCTAAGAAAATTGATGTATTTAAGAGAGATCTTAAAACATGTTATTTCAGAAAGTTTGAATCACTATTTTAAAATCTGAAATGAGATAAACATGAGTAATGTATCACTGATGACTGACAGTGTGATGAATGTGCAATATAAATGAATGTTTTATTCTTTTTAATCTATTTGTAATCAAGTTACATGTATGTAAATAATCTTATCTCATGCTACATGTATATCAATCAGTTTTATCATTTTATGGTCTCTGCAATTTTTCAAAAATATGTTAATTGGAATTGTATGTAAAAGCTTTTATTTCATTTGATGTTGATCCACATATTCTTATGCATTCAAAAATTTTATTCTTATTATTTATATGTACTATACAACGCCGTTAAATATTGTTAAATAGAAACAGGCGTTTAATTAAATAAAAAGTTTCAAGTTTCAAGTTACCCACACATTGTCTAAACCATGCCCTTATTTAAGCAGAAGATGTTTAACAAGTGAAAACCAGTTAGATATTATTTAAAATCGCGTTTCAGTATCATCAATTTTCATTTATATGTTATATTTTTGCACAAAATCTAACAACATCATAATAACATAAGGTATTTGGGTGATATTCTACCTAGTTCACCATGTCCAAAGTCATTTAGAGTAGTTTTGTATCACAATATAAATTGTGTACAAAATTGCATACGTACTTATTTGACACTATTACCATATATTAACCCAAGCCATAATTCAGAATAGTTATCGTAAGTTTATCAAAAAGTTCCAATCTACAATCTACATTTCTACAATCATACGATTTGTTAACTTCAAAAGAAAAGATACAGCATACTGATAAGGTAGTATTTACATTTCATTGATTCGACTTGTCTTTATATAATCTGTGATCGTATATATAAATTCGTTGTAATTATTTATCCATGTGCATTACACATTTATATACTTTAATTTGTATTGACGACATGTTGGTACGGTGTTATTATATTTTGGAACATAATAAGAAAGAATGTTTTTTTTTCGTTAACTGTGAACCAGATGGACCGATCTTAATAAATGTATTGCCGTTTTATCTGACTGACCATTCACCCATGTTACTTAATTACTTGAAGTGTACATGAACTTTTTTAATCAAAATGATCAGTGATAAGGGTTTTGTGTGTGTATGTTTTTTTGTTTTGTTTTTTATTAATTGACATTTACACTATCCAAAAAATCAGTAATTCTGTAACAACTGTAATATGCATAATTGCAAAAAGAGGTAGCAAAAGTTATCACATATACTCTGAGTCTCACAAACAGTGATATTTTCAAGTAAGTACAAATAGACACATTAGAAATTCGAGCAAGCTTTCGGCCATGAAAATTATAATAAACTTGGACACGCTTTTTCTTCTCCCTTTGATGATGCATTATTTGGAATGTTTCTTCTCTATCATACATCTTTATCAACAGTAATAAAAATCAGCGACAATCAAGGTACGTATGTAAACAGTTTCTGGCATAAATTCTGAACAGTGTTCAAAGTACATGTATAGCTTGCGTCCTAAAAATAATGGCGATCAGTAAGATCAATATTTAGAAAGTATATTTCGCCATAGTCTCAGTGCTGAAGTTAGTGTTCAGTGAACAGTGCCAATTTTGCACTCAGAAAGTAAATAACAAAGTAGATTAACAGACACTTTTGATATTGGTATATTTCAAATGATTTTATAAAAAGAAAAATGCAGTTCATATATTCTACATGTTTTCCATTGAAAGTAAAATGAGGAAATTGTAGTCTCTAACACATCCTTTCCTCATTTAGTCATTCAGTCAAATTTGAAACACGTGTAAAAATGCACAGTTTTTTTTTATTTTATCTTGCAATGCTTTAAAAAAAAGAATATGTCAGGTTACGCAGCTGAGCAAAATGTTGTTTAGAGGGCACATAGTGCAAAATAATACTTTTTATACATGATATCTAAGCATTTCTTCTAACAAAGTGACATTGCCTCCAATTTATGTCAATCAAAACGAAAAATGCTATAACAGCACATATAATAAATATTCCAGAAGCTCCAATACTTTTAGAACTCTTTCGTTTATCCCTTGCAGATACAAGTTTTCGTTTAGTTTTACTTGTCTTTAACCTTTCAACAGTCATATCTTTTAACATTTCTTCAAACTCTAAACTTTCGGCTTCGTCAGTTACATTGCTCGACTTACTGCATATGAATTGATTATTGTTGCTGCAGTTGGCCAGTTGGAAACTGCTTATATTGTTCTTATTGTATAAGATCGGGCACTCCATGTCAAGCTTGTCATAGTATACTGCAAATAATAAAATGATACAACATATGTAATTGTACAAAAGGAAAAAAGAAATACGTGTGAATATTTTCAATACAAATTATATTACAAGAAGTGGTAAAATATCAATGGAGTCAATTGATCTAGGCGTCACACGTGATCACTTATGTGCTTTTGTGGTAGCTGTAACCGAAAGCAAATTAACACAATCCGCTGGATGAACCTGAGCACTTGATACTACAAGTCGCACCTAATGATATATTCTACGTAAACAAATTAATAATAAATAATGATTAAATTCATTTTATGATTATAAAATTGCAACAATAATAACTATTTTAATTTCATTTTATTGCTTGGATCATATCTTTTCATTCACATATTGAACTTTTCATTCTAATTAAACTTCCCTTTTTAACGTCTTCTTTTATTCAAGTTAATTTATCTACATATTTTTATATTCTTACCTCCAAGCCAATACGAATTGTTTTTCAGTATTTTGTCAATGGATGGCTGGAAAAATCGCATGGGATTGGAATATGCAAGCAGTTCAGCACCCATATTCATACAAGTATTTCTAGCACTTGGAAAACTTTCCTCTTGTTCCACAACGAGTAATAACTTATCATTTATTCTCACCCATTCTGTAACATATAAAGATTTGATAAAAATGCATTTAAGAAATAATTGTCACCTTTTGAAATATGAAATCGCACTTTCTATAGTCAGCATTTTTTTCTTTTCAATTAAGATTGTTTGCAAAAAGTTGTTGTTTCGTTTTTAATTAAAAACCCCTAATATTTATTACTTCTGTCGTAAAATAATATGTACGTAAAATAATATGTACATTTACCATTTTTCGAAATATCCTTAGCAGTAAAATTGGTTGAGTGACTCATTTCGTGTGATGTGCTCAAAGAAGCTGTAATGGGGTTTGCTGCACTGGAAGAAACTCTCCCTGTAATCACAGATGTAGACGAAAAAGTTGTTGTTTTGTCGGTTGTCGGTTGTACATGGATGTTTTGTTGCGATGTTGTAGAAAATGTTACCTTTGATGCAGTTTTACCGTAGTATTTTGAAGAAGATGACACTGAACTTCTGCTAGATGTAGGCATTGAAGTTGTCATGATAGCTGTTGACGTAGAAGTCATATAGTATGACGTTGTTGACGATAATTCTTGTGTCGGTGATACTTGAGATATTAAAGAAGATGGCATTGAACTTCTGCTAGATGATTGCGATGTTGTAGAAAATGTTACCTTTGATCCAGTTTTACCGTAGTATTTTGAAGAAGATGACACTGAATTTCTGCTAGATGTAGGCATTGAAGTTGACATGAGAGCTGTTGACGTAGAAGTCATATAGTATGACGTTGTTGACGATAATTCTTGTGTCGGTGATACTTGAGATATTGTGGAAGATGAAAATGTAGATATCGACGTAGAAGTGGTCATTTTGGTTGTCGTTTTTGCTTTAGAAGATATCACTGACATTGACGTAGAAATGGTCATTTTCGGTGTCGTTTTTGCTTTAAAAGATATCACTGACATTGATTAGATAATGAAAACAGTTTGCTTTGAAGCAGCTTTTATCGTAATGTGGCATAAAACAATCATTTAGAATTAATAACAATAAAATCAGTACAATGCAATAAATCAAAAATGGTGATATAGATACTTTGAAGTATAAAATATATCAATGTATCGTAAACTAACTTTACTGGAACCTTTAAAAAGGTTGGTGCTAAAAAAATTTAAAATATCAAAATTGTTCATAGCACAACGATATAAGTAACAGATGAGGATTATTTCAACAAGTTACTTACCAATTATTTCATGAACAGACAACCGCAAATCACCGCCGCAATATTCATCTCTATCTCCAGGACATGTGTAATAACAATCTGAGTCCGAAACTTTTTCACCAGGAAGAGTATTGCAACAATAACATTCAGTGCCATACTAACAAATAAATAATAAACAAATATACAGGTTATACACCTTTTTAATGATTTCTAAAAGTACATTGGTAGAATTATTCTCATCAAAATATTTTCATAAAGTAGACGGTTAATAAAAAATATTCTCAGTAACAAATATATGTGTGTTATATAATATTCTAACACGACCCGCATTTTTCACTATTGAATATAGAAGAACCGAAAGTGTGTGCTATTATACAATAAAGTCACAGTCACGTAATCATAATACATGTGACGTAACCACTAAAAAATCTGACGCACTGAAAATAAGTACGGAAACAAATCAGGCGCAATTTTGCTTAATATCAGATACGGCAGCATTGATTTGTTGATGTGTTAGAATCGAAATAATATATCCAAATCAGTGATTTTATAGCTTATTAACATCACTGTTTCTCGTTTGATGCGCATCATTATATCACTCGGGCTACGCCCTCGTGATATAATTTGTCGAAACAGTGATGTAATTGAGCATAAAATCACTGTTTGGGATATATTATTTCTGAAACAAGTATGATGACATGAAATCAAATGATGTTTATCGTCAAAATGTCATATTGACCTTGGCTACTCCCCATCCCCCCGCAATTTATCACATCATATTCAATGGTTCACGAGGGAATAATTGTGTAATAGTATTAATACATATATTTATTCTAATGCCTTTAATCTTTTTATTTTGTCTTTGCGTTGGCCCATGTACGAAACTAACTTTGATGATATGAACTTCTAATGTTAATGTTTTGTGATAAAAATTACATCATAAACATCTGACCTTAAAAGAAAATTTACCTGATGAAAATTCCATTGGACTGATTGCTTGAATTTGCCGTTTTTACAATGTGTGTTCTTTTTAATTTCAATATCATATTGAAAGTGACATTAAGCTCATTTTTTTGCTGTCAAATTTTGTTCAATTATTAATATATGTCACGAGATTGAATTTTATACTGGTGATTGACCGATTATTTATAATAAAAATGCTTGGCATAAAATAATATTAAAAAGTATACTAAATCATTAAAAAACTGCCCCACACTTTTAAAAAAATGAACGCTACCAAATCATTCTGAACGATATTTATTGACATTTTAGTGTGCCACATGAGTGTTGGATAATTTCTGCACAGTAAAAATTCAAAGTGAATACAAATATGTTAATTTGAAAAAATGGCAAAATAGGCAGTGAATTATGTTATAGAACCAACTAATTTCAATAAGTGGTAATAGTACCTTTGTTCCAGAGTATGTATATTTCTTTGCCTTACACCTTCCTATGCATTCTTTTCCTGTATTTGTGTCTGAATTGTTATGAACGAGTTGACAATATTGATTTTCTATTGCCGCATGCGCATATTTGTTACATCCAATATAACCCTGTGGCATGTTCATTTTATAAGCTTAAATAAAATAAAATATATGTTAAACTTTGCACTAGCATGAGGAAACAATAGCTTTCGTCTCAATGATCCGACAAAGTTATGTGAAAAATTAAAGTCATATATAATGATATTTCTTAATTCAAAATTATACCATATTCATGATTAAATGATTAATTCTGCTCAAAAGCAGGTACTGGTGGGGAGTAGGGGCTTGGGCGGTAGCTTCCATATATCACTTTCGTCTTTGAACAGGCACGGTCATACCAAACTAAAACTTCGATTTTTTGTTTCTGATGTTCATCAGGGATTCTGTTGTTGTTTATTTTCTATTTGTATATATGAACAAAGCAAAGTTGGTCATAATGATTAAAAATCATGTACATACATCTTGACTAATATTTCTTATATGAGCGTTATTGTAAATTCCTCGCTCAGAATTCAAAATATCTCCGTTTGATATCTTATTTTGCATGCCTGATAAATGTGCTTCAAAGATTTATTTTCTGTTTAAAATAGCAACTGTTTTAGTTGCTTTTTACATCTACCTTCATTGTCATAAACAGATATACGCCAAAACCCACCACAATGTTCACTTCTGTTCCCAGGGCATTTATTATCACACTCTTTATTCGGCTCTTTGATAGCCTGCAGATTGTGGCCGCAAAAGCATTGGTTGCTGGCCTATATAATTTAAGAAACGTATCTATTGTATATGAATTAAATTACAAAAGTACAGATAATCCGGATATTTGCTTCTTATATTTCAGTCACACATTACGCAAAGTTTGTACCAGTATGTCTTATTTTTAAAGCTAAATCGGTTTCATTATAATATTAAAGACAGTAAAATACAGGCTGCATTTGTTTCAGAATACAAAGAAATACAGAATTTGTTTGTATGTGTTTTACGTCACACCGACGCAGTAAAGGTCATATGGCGGCGTTCAAGCTTTACTGGTGGAGGAAGACCTAAGGAATACATCCGTTTATTATTTTAGGCACGAACGGGCACCTGAGTAGACGCATCAACGTTCCGTAAGCTAGCTAGATAGTTTCCTCACATGAAAGAATCCAAAGTCCCTGTCAGGATTCAAACGCACAGCGGCAAGTGGTTCCGAAGTCAATGACATTAAATACTAGGCCATGAACGCCCCAAGAAATACGAGGAAATATTTGGCATGAGTACAATCATTTAAATTATGTATAGTGCCATTGCTTGAATATTTATCTGTTTCTCTGTGAACACATTTTTATAGAACAAAGCCATTTATTCCAAAAGAAATTTTCTTATCGATAACTCTCGGAAAAAGTAATATGCACACTTCATAATGCATGACCAGTACTGAGCAATTGGTTTAAAATATTTGTTTTTTATCTTAATTTCATGTTCAATGTTTATACACATTTGCTTTCTTACTTTGTTTTTTCTCCGAAATAAAATTATAAAAAAGTATTATTTTTTAATCTTGCAGTTGTCTCATAGAATGGTGAATGTGTGAAAAGTTTATTTACCGCTTTATTTATTTATTTTAATTACCTCAGTTCCAGCGTACCTGTACCTAATTTGCTTGCATCTGTCTTTACATTCTTTTCCCGTGTTGCTATTTTTGCTTTCCAGCGTCTTTGGCAAAATTCTTTTGTCGTTATCAATGAAGCATCCGATATAATCTGATGAAAAGTATGATCTTTCGTCTGAATAAATATATAGAAGAATTATTTGTAAGATGTAACATTGTTGTCGCTGTTGTTATTGTATTTCTTTAAAAGCAAATAAAGCCTCAGAAATCAGAAGTCCATAATTTTTTATTCTTAAGAAATGTCAAACATGCGTTTATTTATGTTTTAAAAAAGTCTTTTAGAGCATGTTGCAAGTTAAACAACTGAAGAAAGTAGCATTGAACATGCAGTTTTGTGTCGTAAAATTTGCCAAATGTAAATTAACAACAAAATACTAATTCACTATAATCATACCATTTGCAAACAGAACAAAAGAAGCAGTAGATAGATCATATATATGGAAAACAAGTAATTTTCTCGACATTGTAACAAGATAACAAAAACAAACAGGTTATTTCAGAAATATAACTTATAGCATTCTTGAGGCATATGGGACCTTTAAATATAAATATTGTTGTTTTTTCTGGTCCTTTTGGATTTTAAGTTCCGTTACTTTTAGTATTGAAAATTAAATACTGCTTAAGCATGTACTAGTGACCGTGAGGTATGTCGAACGTTTCATTACCCCTCGTGAATATGAATATATTCAATTAAACCAAGTCAATAATGTTCGCGTATTTCATTTTTAAATGGATCTTCCATTAACTACCATAATTTCTATAACTTATTATTTATTTATTCATTATCTTGCATATTTCAGTTATATCATTATAAATTAAATTATTTAAATATAGAGCAACACGGTGAACCTTTTGCTGGTTTACATATAGAGGATATTTGTTTGTTTTTGTGTAAGATGAAATTTTATTTCATCGAGTGGGCTTTAAAAACAGTATTCTCACGAGTGGCGTAGCCACGAGTGAGAATACTGTTTTTAAAGTTCACAAGATGAAATAAAATTACATCTTACGCCACTCGTGAGAATACTGTTTTTAAAGTTCACGAGATGAAATAAAATTTCATCTTACACAACAAACAAACAAATTTTCTTTTTATTTTATGCTAAAAAACAAGTTAAAACGAAATTTCCATAATATTAACGTAAATATTAAAATCTGTTTTCCCCATTGAGAGCCCCATTTAGTCCGAATTTCTCATTAAAAACAAGAAGT